GTACTTTGATAGCGACCTAAAGAAGCAGAGATCGTTCAAGTTGGTGTCCGGCGAGTTGGCCGGTTGCAACACAAATTTGATCATTGGCGCTTGCTTCCCATCGATGCGCTTCCGTTCCTTTCCAGCAGCGTTTAAAGCGTCCATGCACTTCACATGAGGTCGTGCGCCACCCATCTGTACAAAGACGATGTCAAAGTCTGCCATTTTCGTATAGATGTCCGGGATCAACTTCTCGGTGACTAACTCGTAGAACATCGGTGCGTCAACATCACAGTCTTCGACATACACGTCCCCTCGTTTGTGATATTTGCTGTTTCGCTGCGCAACCTTTTCGCGTGCGCAGCGATACATTCCTATTCGTCCGTCGAAGTCGCCGCACGGTCGCGCAACGGCGCACAGGCCCATCACTTTTTGAACAAAACGCTTGCTCTTCGTTGGCACCCTTGTTCGCCGCTGTTGTCCTGGGTGCACCTTCACAGCTCTCTTCCGAAGCATATCCCACCATTTCTCGTCAATGTCGATCCATCCTACTGTTTTTGTCTTTGCTACGTTCGGGTATCGCAAGTTTTCCGTCGCCGTCCAAGTGTAATCAAGATGCTGCTTTGCCCACTCCAATCTTCTCTGCACGTCTTTTGCGCTGAGGCAAGGTACATAACGCTCGCATACTTGGCGCCAGCCAGCTGTTTTACAAAAATTATACACTGTTTTGTAGGCCACGCGCTTACCTGTTCTCTCCGTGAGCCGCTTCGCGAGCGATTCCCACGTGAAATAACCTTTGACCTCTTCTGACAGATTCTCGAGCGTCTTCATGTCCTCCTCGTCAACGCACGCGGGCGCCCACTTCTCGATCGGGAATCAACGTTTTCCTCCGCCCGCCACCGGTGCAAGATCCTGTATCCATGAGACGTGCTTACTCCCCACTCCTTGCATACATCTGCAACTGAAGCGTGCCCGTAACGCACGGCAAAGTGCACACACTTGGCAAAAGCAACCCTCTCCGTGTCGCTCAGTTCCCACCCATCGCGCTCTCGCACGCCGCTTGGAGCCTTCAAAGGGCTCAAAGGGCTCAACAGAGGACCGAGACGTGTGCGCGAGGGTGTTTTCTCACGCTTCCGCAGCCTCTCGCTCATCGGTCGAGTGCGCGCGTCGCCGTGAACCTCCAACTTCGTCCGTCGACGCGCGCGATTCAAACTTGATGGCGTGCGCTCTTCCTCGCCCCCTGAGCGCTCGGTGCCTTGGTTTAACACACCAAGCGGCCAAAACATGTGAAACTTGGCACACGAGCTCTCCGTCGCGCCCCGGGTCGATTTGTGTCGTCCGCGCGCGCGCTGACGCGCGGAGCACGCGCGTTTCGAATTTTTTCGTCGATGGGCGGGCACGCGCAGAAAAAAGGAGAAAACCCTAGGAGGGGTAAAAATTTAGCTAAATCGCTCTCGAACTTTTGCAACTTTTTTCGCGTTTTCCTATCATTTGGAAGATCGAGCAAAACTAACATCAGCTTGTTGCGGCGATTTCACGCACATTCAGAGAGAGAGAAACTTGCATCGACGTATACGGGAAATTTCAACAGCTTTCCAACGGTGTGCGACACATCCCGATCGGATGCGATGTCGCTTATAACGAGGCTCTTCCCCATCACTTTTTACATCGAGGTTAGTACCTTTTTTGGGGGGGGGTGGTAATTCCGGTTCATGACTCGTCAATACATACATTGTTCACGTCACGGGTATTAAATGCAATGTCTTTAACATCGTATGGTGACCATGCGCCAGCGCTTACTTGTAGAAGCCTAATCTACGTACCGGTACCTAAAGAAGTCCTCGTGGCTCTCAAGCGCCAATCCCGTGCGCCATGGGAGACCGTGGGTTCAACTTCAGTCGCAAATTGAATCAGTCGCTTGACCTTGGTGCCGCCACGAAAACCGGAACAACAATATGTGGTGTCGTGTTCGAGGCTGGAGTCATACTTGGTGCCGACACAAGATCGACAAACGGCGAAACCGTGGCTGATAAGGACTGTGAGAAGATTCACTATATCGCCCCTAACATATATTGTTGTGGCGCGGGAACGGCTGCAGATACGGAATCTGTCACAGGTACGTCGACGCCTTGAGTACATGAAAATGCTGACCTGTTCCTCGTAGGTTTAATTTCTTCAAACTTGCTCTTACACAGGAAACAGACGGATCGACCAAGTGCAGTGAAAAGTGCGCTCACTTTGTTGAAAACCACCCTCTTCCGCCACCAGGGTCATATAGGCGCAGCGCTTGTTTTAGGTGGTGTAGACAGTGATGGCTCACATCTTTTCACCGTATATCCGCACGGTTCTTCCGACGCGCTACCCTACGCAGCGATGGGGAGTGGATCCTTAGCGGCGATGGCAACTCTTGAGACAGGGTACCACGAAGAGATGAGTTTGGATGCCGCAAAAAATTTGGTTACACGAGCGATTCTATCCGGTGTAATGAACGATCTTGGCTCTGGCTCGAATGTCGACTTGTGTGTTATCACGAGGGATAGCGTGCAGTACTTGAGAAATGACACATCCAATATGCACCGAACGTTTCGTATTTCTTCGAAGTTTGATGACCGCCAGGAGGCAGTAATCGATTACTCGCACTGTGGTACCGCAACGCGAGTATTGCATGCCAACTAATGAGAGATCGCATGTTAGAATCTATTTGTAACATGTATGGATTAAAACGAACGTTTCTTACAAAGATCGTATGTTACTTGTCCCGAAGCTCAACGAGTGTATCGACCACGGTTGGATCAGCCAATGTCGATGTATCACCCAGAGATTCTTCTTCTCGAGAAGCAATTTTACGTAAGATTCGTCTCATTATCTTACCACTCCGTGTTTTGGGTAAAGCCGGCGCCCGCTGAATCGTGTCAGGCGCTGCGAAGGGGCCTATCATCGCTCTTACACAGTCGACCAAGGCCTTTCTGGTGGAATTTGTGAGCTCACAACTTTCGCGTAAAGTCACGAACGCATATATCGACTGACCCTTTATAGGATGATCAATACCGACGACGGCAGCTTCAACACATTCTGCATGAGTGACAAGCGCCGACTCAACTTCAGCTGTTCCAATACGGTGACCGGAAACATTCATCACATCGTCAACACGACCTGTTATCCAGTAATAACCATCAGCATCACGCTTGGCACCATCACCAGAGAAATAGTATCCTTTGAACATGGAGAAATATGACTCTTCATAGCGCTGGTGATCCGCAAACAGCGTTCGGAACATGGATGGCCACGGGGTTTTGAAGCACAGATAGCCTTCTGCTTCATCAAGTAACTCAACTCCATTTTCATTCAGTAGAACAGGCTCAACTCCAAAAAAAGGGAGGGTGGCTGACCCAGGCTTCTGTTCAATGGCAAGTGGTAATGGAGTAATCATATGTCCACCTGTTTCTGTTTGCCACCACGTATCCATCACAGGACAGCGTCCTTCTCCCACGACGTTGAAGTACCATTGCCATGCTTCCGGGTTGATTGGCTCGCCAACAGTACCCAATATTTTTAGCGAAGACCGCTTGTATGCTTTAACGAAGTCGTCTCCGTAGCGCTGTAGGGCTCGCAACGCAGTTGGTGCGGTGTAAAATGTTTTCACCTTGTACTTGTCAATTATATTCCAGCAACGACCAGCGTCCGGGTAATTTGGTACACCCTCAAACACAATAGATGTCGCGCCGTTTAGAAGTGGTCCATACGTCAGGTAAGTATGACCTGTTATCCAGCCACAGTCTGCCGTACACCAAAAGACGTCGCCTTGGCGCATATTGAATACAGAAGCACATGTAGCTCCAGCATAAATCATATAGCCCCCAGTAGTGTGTAAGACGCCCTTAGGTGAGCCAGTAGAACCTGAAGTGTACAGCATGAAAAGTGGATCTTCGGCATCCATCCACTCTGTTTCACAATCTCTAGGTAGCTGATCGACTTCGTTTTGCCAGTGCTTATCGCGACTCTGCGTTAGATGGTTGTCGCTGTTCAGCCTCGCATTTATGAAGCACAGGCAGTGGTCAACTGCGTGGTCCTTTGCGGCAGCAAAATCGCAAGCTTCGTCGACAACTCCCTTTAAATTAATATGTTTCGACCCACGCATGACGGCAGAACACGTCAGCACCACTTTCGCTTTGCATCCTAGAAGTCTCTGCGCTAACGCCTCTGATGAAAAACCTGCAAATACAACAGAGTGCACTGCTCCAATTCGTGCGCACGCAAGCATCGCTACGGGAAGCTCCATGATCATAGGCAAGTAAATAATGACGGCATCATTTTTCTTGACACCCGCGGACTTGAGCCAGTTTGCCAAGCGGTTGACGTCAGCCTGGAGTTCAAGGTAAGTTTTTTTACCTTCTTCGCCCAAGTTGTTGCCTTCCCAAATGAAAGCTGTCTGTTCTCCACAGCCATTTTGGATATTTCGCTCGATACAGTTCCATGCCATGTTCGTTTTGCCACCAGCAAACCAGGAGACATCAACTTTGCCGTTGTCTACGTTGAAGTTGAAAGCCAGCACGTTTGACTTCCACGGTTCTTCCCAGTGAAATTCTCGAGCTACTTTCGCCCAGAAGTTTTGTGGATCTTCGACAGATTCTCTGTACAGTGCATCATATTGCTCCCTACTGCAGCACGTTCGGAGAACATCCATAAAATCATCGCTGTTCATATTGGTTCGTCGAGTAACGTTCAGGTGCGGGAAGACTGTCGGAAGGACGCTCGCGTTGGAAAAGATTTATTTCATTCCACCTTTAGAGAGCCCCCCCGCGACTGACGAGTTATGAACCGTCGTGTATCTCATATATTGTATCTTTTAATGGTTTCACATTACCCTGTCACAGTGAGTTGGGATTCCCAACTTGGGACTATAGGTGTTGTTAAGCCGTTAGGTGCTGTTAGTCGGCCTTAAGCCGACTAACAGCACCGTTCATAACTGAAGTTATCGGCGAGTTATCGAAAAAATGGGGGTAACAGCACCGGAAAAATTTATATTGCAAAGTTATTGAAATCACGTGATTTTGACGATAACTTCGGGGAAAGTTATCGTCAAAATTAAGGTTTGTCAATAACTTTTGACGAGTCAGCTCTTGAGTTAATGATGAGGGGGTCAAAGTTATGGAAAAGTTATCGAAATCAGCTGTTAACCCCTTGACGATAACTCGCGTAATTTGCCCAAATGTCCGTTAATTTCTATCACACAAAGTCCGACGCGATGGTTCACGACTTGTGAGCGCGACGAAGTTATCGAAAAGTTATGAAAATGAGCGTTAGTGGTACACTGGTACACTGGTACACTGGTAGTACAAAAAAAGCTCTGTATCAGGCCAAGCACCCCTAAAGTATGAAGTGTGGATTATGTGCATCGAAATATCAGCGTATATCTGCACACGGGATCGCGTGTGCGGATAGAGCCGTGAGTGCCTGTGCAGTCCTCACAGTGTTTCCACCGAAGCGCTCAACTGGCAATTTGCTAACGTCGAAGTGCACATTGAATCAGTGTTCAAGGCATCTTTTAGCGTGTACGCGCGCGCGGCCTGTCGACGATGGCGAGCGTAACTTGTAAGGCCACGCTTCACTCTCAGCGCGTTACCGGTACGATACGTTGTGAGCGCGTCTTCGCTTGGAACTGCGTCCATCAAGATGCGAGACTGTATCGTCCGATTTGTTTTTATATTATCGGTCTCGCTCGCCGTGTCCATCGTTTTGATTTTGACGCCGAGTGCTCAAAGAATCTCGCGCGACCTTATCGGCTTCGATTACGCGGTTGACTAACTTCGAGCACCGCGTTTTCTCGGCACAGCACGAAGCGAAAGAGGTTTGACGAAGCGGTAATCCAATATGTCCTTGAAATATAGTTTTTTTCTGAGACCTTGATAGGAATGTCCGAAAGGCTGTGCGTAGCTTGAGAAGAGAGAAAATAAACTCCTGCCCTAAAGCTGGTGAGCTACTGTTCACTTCTCTAGTTTTGATCTGATGCCCGATATAGTATCCAGCGATGCGGAAGAGGATACCACCGCTCGACCCGTTTACCCGTTTGCCGCCATCATCGGCCAAGAAGAAATGAAATTTGCGGCAATGATGAATATCATTGATCCAAATATTGGTGGTATCATGGTCATGGGTGACCGTGGCACTGGAAAGTCAACCACGGTTCGTTCTTTGACTGATTTACTACCTTACATCGAGGTCGTGGCGGATGATCCGTATATGAGTAGTCCGACAGATCCGAACTTGATGTCACCCGATGTTTTAGCAGCTTACAGAGCGAAGCAACCACTCGAGACGGCGTTCGTTCCCATCAACATGGTTGACCTTCCACTTGGTGCAACAGAAGACCGCGTCTGCGGTACCATTGATATCGAAAAGGCGCTAACCGAAGGCACAAAGGCATTTGAACCTGGACTACTCGCTAAGGCTAATCGAGGAATCCTCTATGTTGATGAGGTCAACTTGCTTGACGATCACCTTGTCGACGTCTTACTTGACTCTGCTGCTTCGGGCTGGAATACCGTCGAGCGTGAAGGTATCAGTATTTGCCATCCTGCACGATTTATTCTCATCGGATCTGGTAACCCTGAAGAAGGCGAACTACGTCCTCAACTCTTGGATCGCTTTGGTATGCACGCTCAAATTAAGACAGTAAAGTTACCAGAGGAGCGCGTCAAGGTGGTTGAAGAGCGCACCGCATTTGACACTGATCCGAAGACTTTCCGAGCTCGATACAAAGAGAAGCAGGATGAAATTATAGATCGGGTCACTCGCGCTCGCACTTTGTTGCCAGAAGTTGAGGTTCCCATGGACATTCGATTGAAAATTTCACAAGTTTGTGCTGAACTTGATGTGGATGGCCTTCGGGGGGATCTTGTTACCACTCGCGCGTCTCGGGCCGCCGCCGCGTACAGAGGGTCGAAAGTAGTCACAGATGAAGATGTATACTCTGTTGTGTCGCTTTGCTTGCGCCATAGGCTCCGCAAGGATCCAATGGCGACGATCGATGAAGGGTCTCGCGTGATCGAGGTGTTCTCCTCTGTGTTTGGCTACGAAACGGAGTAGTCGTACGGCTTCATTTCATTTAATAATACAGAATTTTAAACTTAATGAAGAAAGCAACGAAGCCAGAACCTCTACGAATTCGGAAAACCATCATCTTATCGTTCTCCCTAAAGATGAGTATCGATGCAGATTAGCCCTTCACCTAAACTACTTTTTTGCCTTTGTGCAATGCACTCAGTTAACCACATTAGGTTACTCAATTCATTTTCCTGGAACTTCGAAAAGGCGTAGAACGCAGCTAAATTGAACTGCTCAGCAAGCACACGCTGACAGCTTTCTAGTTCAAGTATACGAAGGCCCTATAAAGAGTTTACCTCATAGCAAAGAAGAACGACTCAACAACATACCCGATCTACATCGTGAGCGTCGTCTTTTGCTGCCACTTCGTGGAATCCTGGATACGTCACCAAAACTTGCTTCACCTCATCCACCGTCTCACAAGTTGCGAGACGGACAAATCCATCTGGGTGCATAGTACCAAAGTTGGTGTAAAGAGTGGTCCGAACACTTTTGGACAGTTCCGTCCCAAAAGAGTTTACCGTGATTCTTATAGCGTGACGATCAGCCTCAAGATCTAGTAGATTCTAAAATGTGCGAGAGTTGATCGAGATGTGACTATCCATAAAATCAAGTCTTACCTTCATTAACTCATTCGTTCGTAAGTCTAGAGTCGAGCAAAATTTCATGAAGTCTTGAAGGTACTCCTGCAAGTTGTGTCAGACGAATTCCAAAGTATGAGATGTTTTCCAGTAGATACCTTGTATAAAACATTTCTAATGAGTTCAACATTCAACTCATCAAGATCTGCCGCACTGACAGCGCCACTAAGATATTTCGCGAGAGGGGTATCAACTAAAACTAATCTGTAGAGTTCCCTACAAGTACGTGAACAAAATAGAAAGGAGAGTATTTATCATCGTACTGAACGTTGCCAGATATTACCACGGACGGAAGTGAATCAAACAGTCCTATCGGACTACACTTGTCGAGTATCTCCTGGAGCAAGAGATGACGTATTTTCAGGAAATACAAAACGAGGATGGTACCTCCGAACTTCGCCCATGCAGCATTCCGTTCAGCGCCAGCATTAAGTTATCGATCATGTGACCATACGTCAAGTATTCCAGGAAAGTAGAAAGTGGTGGTGATGCCTAGATACATTTCAGTTATGACAAAGAGCTCAAAGTGCGTCGCACCTGGTGTTGGCACGTGTTAAACTCCTTAACGTGCCTCCTCTTGCAGCACGCGACGATGTCCTCTGGTTTTACAGGCGGTTGGACGTTGCGGAGATAATCGGAATAGTCACTGATGGACTCCTATCGTTCGTCTCAAGCAATGGTAGCAGTAAACGCATACTAGTTTACCAGATAAGTTTTTACGTCCTCCAACGAGTCACAACGGCCAAGTTCCTCGTAGTCTCGTTTGCTCAGTCGCTTTGAGTGGCAGCCTCGCACAAAGGCTTCAGAAAAGCCGTGCTTACGATTGAACATGAAGCTGAATCACGACGGGGCTCCAGACCCAACACGGTGAACTCTGCGGTCGACCTGTTGCCCCGTTTGCTAGTCCAGGTTGGAGACTGAGAATAACGTCGTGAGGAGAAATCCTCGTCCAGTATACGACGGTCGTAGTAACTACGACCTCACCACCCACCACGGCCCATGCCCAAATTTAAATATCACATCCATGTAAAAAATAGTGGGACGGTTCGAGACTCGTCGATGCGATCGGGGTGTGTGACGAGATGGCCCAATCTCTAATAGAGATTGGGCCATCTCGTCATAGAGATTGGGTAATAGAGATTGGGTAATAGAGATTGGGTAATAGATATTGGGTAATAGATATTGGGTAAAATCACGATCACGATTTGAATCACGACCCGAAACTTCGTGCCTCGGGCGAGCGAACGGCGACGCGATCGAGAAAGTTGTGCGCGAATTTTGCACCAGTCTGACGTGGAACGAGCGTTCTCGTTCGGCGCCGTCGTGCGGTGCGTTCGCGAAGGCGGTTGCGACGCGATCGCGCCCAGAGCCGCGTGAGGAGTTTCGCCGCGCGCTCGATCGAGAGCGCCGCGCGAAGACGCCGCGCGCGCCGTGTCCGGGGCGTTCGCGTCGCGATGCTATGATTTGTGTACGCACCCAAACGTCGTACTCAACGCAATCTGCGTCAAATCGAGATCCAAACCCGAATTTTGTAAACTAATGGGCGAATGTTCACTACAATACGTGATGGTGACCCGCGGAGCCATACTTTTGTTGCCAACCTAGCGTTTGCCACTCGAAGATCTTGCTTGGGAGGGGCGCTTACGTTCAAGGCGAGGCCTACCGCGTCACCCTGAGCAGGTGCCGTGTAACGTTTGTGTTCGCGCGTGTATTTGAGCCTGAAACCACTATAGCAAAGGCTGGCGTGCACGTGTTTCCGTCGAACAGCGTATTCTGCTCGTCACGTTTGTCCGATCCCATGTCAGAGTTCGGCAGAAAGCGTGACGAAGACTCTCTTGAAGAAATTTCGCCCTTTGTAGGGATAGAGAAGGGAATTGTGCTACAAGAAGCACGTTGCTTTAACGATCCGCAGCTCGATGTGCGAAAATGTCAGCAAGTCATAACGAAATTGTTGTATCTGAATATTCAAGGAGAGTTGTTCACAAAGAATGAGATCACCGAGATCTTCTTTTCCGTGACAAAGCTGTTTCAGTCGAAGAGTAGTAATCTAAGACGGATGGTGTATCTCATAATCAAGGAGATTTGTCCGAGCTCAGACGAAGTTATTATCGTCACTTCTTCTTTAATGAAAGATATGAACAGTAAAGTTGATCTTTACCGGGCAAATGCGATTCGAGTACTGTGTTGCATAGCAGACGCCGCAACTCTGGGCCAGATCGAACGATATTTGAAGCAAGCAATTGTTGATCGAAGTGATGCTGTTTCTTCCGCCGCCCTAGTATCTGCTACTCACTTGACACACGCAGATGTAGATATTGTGCGGCGCTGGAGTAGTGAGATTCAAGAGGCGATTAACTCAACTTCTCCAGAGGTACAATTTCACGCTTTAGGGTTACTATACGAAATTCGAAAGTCTGATAGGCTCTCGATCAATAAGCTAGTCGCACAACTAGCTAGAACGCAACTCCGTTCTCCGCTGGCTCAGTGCTTGCTGATAAGATATGGCGCTGAAGTGATGAGAGACAGCACAGAAGAGGCTGCAGTCCCACTTCATGCTTTCCTGCAAAGTTGTCTTCGTCATAAGTCTGAGATTGTCGTGTTCGAAAGCATTCGCGCAATCACCTCTCAACAAGATCTTGCAGCTCATGATCTAGTCTCCGTGGTGAACGTTCTAAAATTATTGCTTTCTTCTCCGAAGCCGAGTGCAAGATTTGCTTCTATGCGAATCATGAATAAGCTTGCCTTTAAGTTCCCAGATTTGATTGCCAATTGCAACGCAGACATTGAAAGCTTGATATCAGATGGAAATAAGTCGATCGCTACACTTGCAGTTACAACTTTGCTGAAAACAGGTGGAGAAGCTATAATAGATAGACTGCTCTCGAGAATTCACTCTTTTATGTCTGACATTCAAGACGACTTCAAGATGATGATTGTGGACTCGGTTCGAATGACCTGCATTCGATGCACGCATAAATATCGTGTCTCATTATCGTTTCTGTCGACATATTTGCGCGAGGAAGGGGGCTTTGAGTACAAGCAGTCAATAGTGCGAGCTATTGTTCAACTATTCAGCGCAATTCCTGAAGCAAAGGAGCTTGCACTTTCCTACCTTTCGGAGTTTATCGAAGATTGCGAGTACACGAACCTCTCTTGCGAGGTTCTCTATTTGCTCGGTGAAGAGGCACCAAGCACAAATGATCCGGGCAAGTACCTTCGATATATTTTCAATCGCGTGATTCTTGAAAATCCTTCGACTCGTGCGGCAGCTATATCAGCCATGGCAAACATCGGTGTGCACTGCGAAGTTCTACAAGATCGCATCTTAGTATTACTTAGACGGTGTCTTTTCGATGCTGACGACGAGGTACGCGATAGAGCAAGTTCCTCAATTGCACTGTTTGAGAAGACGTCGGTGCGCGCAAATGAGTCACTCACCACAGGTGCTATCAGTGCCTTTGAGCAAGTGCTGCTGGCATATTGCAGTTCAGAAACGGAAGAGCCTGTCAATCTACAGAACGTGGATACCGATCAATACGAGTATGTTGAGCGCAGTACCTGCGAAATGGCAACATCAGATGAGAAAACAAGTACTCCATCACTTCCCACCTGCTCGAACATCGCCTCTGTCCCCGATTTTGTCAATTATGGTGATATTTTCAAGAGTTCCGTTCGTGCTGAGTTGACTGAGGATGAGACTGAGTATAAAATTTCATGCATCAAACATATCTTCGACAAATTCATTGTCTTCGAATTTCTTTGCAGTAATACTATCAAAGAACAAACCCTCACAAATGTGAGTGTTAAGATGGAGCCGTTGAGTCACGATGAGTTCGGTGAAGCCTTGATAATCCCTCTCAGCATGATGCCTTTCATGACTTATGGTTCAACCTATTCTATATTCAAGCGTTCGAAAGGCCAAAGTCTTGAAGAAAGATTTGCCTGTACTCTGAAGTTCACCTCAAAAGAAGCTGATCCTCTCACCGGTCTACTTGAGGAGGAGGGTTACGAGGACGAGTATTCTATTGAAGATATTCAACTGCACATTATCGATTATATGCGTACAATACGCGTGCCAGATGTGAATACGGCGTGGAACGAGAGCGCTTCTTTTGTTGAGCTGGGGAAGTCAAATATCCCTGTACCGTCTGAGTCTCTTCAAAGTGCGGTAGCGCACATTTCATCGTTACTTGGACTTACACCATGTGTTGGTAAGACCGTGCCCCGCAACTCCTCGTCGCATCTTTTGTACTTCACTGCTGAACTTCCGGATGAAGAGCGAGTTCACATTAAAATTTCCCTTAGCTTCGAGTTACAAACAGGTGTATCAGTTAGCGTCGCTTGTCGAGCACTGCAAGAGCCAGTGTGCATGCAAGTACTTGATGCGTTGACGTGCACTTAGGCTTGAATTATTTTCATAACAACTCAGCTTTCGATTATAGCGCCTTATCGGAGACTTAGAGACGCAAACTTCGTACAAGTAAGAAGACTTACCTAAGGCACAAACGGTAGCATGGTATGTTCGCGCAAACTTGTGTTCACCTAGATCCCACGCACCCTGCAGGAGCTACTCAGTTAAATTGGTGTCAGTTGAAACAACAAACGCACGCTATCATCTCGGTAGGATAATAAAAATTGAACGGCCTTGTCGATGTTAGAATCAGTTTCAGAGTATCCAAAGCACTTAAGTGTTTGAACGAACTCGCCAACTAGCTCGATGTCTTGTGCTCTCTGTAAGTACGGCAGATAGTAACGTAGAAATCGTCGCTCTTTATTGTAAAATTCAATGTCTATCTTCGAACTGCACCAAGATGTGTGTGTGAAAATCCGATGCGTCACGAAATAACACTTGTCCTGAAAAGATCTCATCGAATCAGCCTGCACCTATTATGGCTTCTGTTTAACAAGAGGTTGATAATGATCAGTTTAGCACCCGCACCTCACACTCTAGTGATTTCACAGCAGCATTGCTCATTTCATCAATCTCTTTCTCAGATATGCCTCCAACTTCTATTCCTGTCCCTCTGAAGAAAAACGCCCAGATCATGGCCGAGTTCAGCATATCGTATGTCAGCGAAGCTGCTTGTGTGAGACCTATGTACTCATTCAAATGCCATTTTGACGCCACGCTGGAAAGTGCATCTTCTAAATGTTTCACATCAATCTCTAAGGTCTTCATCGCGTAGACAGCCTCATTTAAGAAAAGAATGTCTTCACGATAGAGTGGCTGATCGAAAGTTTGGTGCAACTTCAGCCAGCGTCCAGCGATTCTGTGAGCTGCTTCGAAGCAATACTCCCGAATTCTTCCGTGCGCATTTAAATAAAAGAACACGAATGAAACGAGAATATCACTGCCCCATTCGCGGAAGAATGTGTCACACGTGAGGACCTCTCGCTCCAGATATTGTAAACTTTCATGGATTATGACACTCCTTTCCGTGAGCCTTGGGATGTCGTTTGGATTGCGTTCGAGCTCCGTCAGGCAAAGTTGCAAATCCAAAGCTTTGGAATCCAACACATTACTCTCGAGCTGATATGGATTCTCGTGGCAACCGAGCGTTTCCAAAGCGAAGCAAAAGTCTCGGACCGACCCACCGTAAATTGTCCTCATTGATGTTATGATCGAGTACAAAGAATGCATACTGAGTGTGCTTCTTCCAGTGCTGATCATCATCTGAGAGACAGAATGGTAGATAGCTCGCACGTCATTTTTTGAGAGGCTCGTACAAATGTATGGCCTCAGTCTCCTTGATAAGCATATTGTAGCAAGTGCAAGTAGAATCTTCGTTACCCTTAGAAGAGGAATAAAAGAACCATGACAAAAATTATTTACCTCAGTCATGAGATGTTTGAAACTCAGCGCGCCGACGTCCTGGATACGAGAAAGATAGAAAGAATCGTTTCGATGGACAGTTTCCTGAAGGACAAGGGCTCCCCAGATGAAAACATTGTTGTGAAAAAGTGAACGTCTCGTATCCTACAGTGCTGTTAGTACACACTTATGTTTCGCAGCTTGCTTCGAAGTACCTCAAAAGACTCCGTCTCCATCACACCTTTTCGAAAGCGCTTTACAATGAGCCACATGTCTGAGACTATTTGTTGCACACAATGTTTGCAGCGTCTCGTCACTATTCGGACAGTTGCCTCAAGTGCTAGCTCATTGAAATTAGAGTACATGTGTTCATCATCGCATGAAACGTGCTTCTTCTTCAATAGTTAAGATAATCTGCAGTTCCGATAGATGAACTCTTACCGTTAATTCGCGAAACGTATTTGAGAGCTCATACAGGACATCCATCTTTGTTCTCAAGAACTTGTCAATTAAACTATCCAACGTAACTAGCAGTTTCAATAGCAGTACGTGGCTTGACTGTTCATCACGAATGTTGTAGTGGCTGCGAGCACCAATTTTCTTGTAGTTCTCTATTGCCTGTTCAATACAAAATCTGAGTTCATCTTGTGTAGCACACTTGTCCTGCGATCCATACAGCGTCACAAAAACGAAGGCCTCCATTGCGCGAATGGCAGAGCAATATAGTTTGTGTTGTCGTGGCAGTTTGTTTGGCCAACGGAACTGAACACCGGTCCAATTTATATACTCAGAGAAAGTGTCGTCATGAATTGTGTCTTGAATTCTACTTCTCACTGAACTGTAAAATAGAGCACACTTCTCACGCACAAAATAGTTCAATAACCCTTCAAAATGATGCACAAGAGAAGTTAGGCCTTCCGTCTTTACTCCTGTTCGAGAGATTTTATCGTCATAGAGACTCCGTGAAGACTTGCAATATGGAAATGTAGACGCTTTTGCATATGATGCCACACAAAAGACATGACAAGCAAGTAATCTTTTTATGTCATCAAACCTCGTGCGCTCCAATTCAACTCCTGCGACCAGTCTACTTCATCATGTAAGTTTGTCTGATCATATCGTAAGTGGAAACGTACCCATCCGGCGAAGTGGGAGCCAGTACAAATTTGATACACTCCAACGTCGCGAAGATTTGACTTGAACCACTGTATAGAACGCAGAACCTGCAATGATGTCGAACATATTCATCAACATCAACATTTGGTTTTCCATGCACGGAGAGTGCAAGGTTAATAAATTCTTCACATCGAGCCTAATGAATCGGTAAGGCAAAATTAAACTGCTTAAAATCGCTCAGATGAATACCTTGTGCCAAATCTCATCGTTTCGCTTCCTGCACCTTTTCCTATGCCGGTTATTGCAGACGCTAACGAACCGACACTCGTCTCGAATCATCCTACGAAGGAACGTTTTCATCAAGAATCGAGTGACATCTCCATCTAATTTTCTTTCATCACACACATGAATTAATCGACTCGCTCTTTCGACTACACTTGAAACATTTGAAGAGCCACTGAACATGGCATCTCCAAAGCCTGGTAAGTCTACCAATTCCATTTCGTGACTTAGATTAGTGCTCGGAACTTCTATAGACACAAAATTCAACAGGCCAGAATGCGAGTTTTCCCCACACAATAAGTCGAACAACACTGCTTTCAAATATGCCAATGCTTCACGTAACGGGCAGCCTGTCAAACTACAAGTGAAAATTCGCCCAATGCACGCAACAAGGTGTTCTGGTAGTCTAATATCTTCATCCGCCAACGCCGTGATATCGAACCCGGGCGCTAAGCCTAAGACAGCGAACGCACGCGACACATTACCACCAACACCTGTGAGTGACTCATCTGTAGTTTCTCCACCACAGGCGTCCTTAGATGCCTGTTGAGCGCCATAGAAGTCGGTTGGCCTCTTCATTCAAAGTTATTTGGTTGACAAGGAAGGTTAAATATACATACCTTCGATGAGCAACAATTTCTCAGTGTAAGCAAAGACTTTAAATCATTTTCAACTCGAGTCGCGGAGGTGTATGCGAAGGACACTTTTACGCAGTCTCCATAGAACAGGTGAACGGGCACTTTCGTCGTACAAAGCATGTCTCCCTCAGGTAATATTCGACTGCACTCTTCACTACTCGTTATCTCAGGAAAAAAGTGTTGGAATTTCTCGGCGGCTGCTCCATTTGCATTGCCTAACTCTGCCATTTGGGGGGTCCAGCAAACATGTTCACCGCGCACATCAATAAAACTAACTTTCAAACAACTTTTGATGATGTCTTTATCCAGTGGTATCTCGAGGTTCCGTGGGATCGCTAGTCCTTCACTCAAAATTGTGTTCAGCAAGTGCGTCTTACCGCTACCAGAACGCCCCAGAACACACACAGTTGTATAAAGCCTCTCTTTCACTTGAGACAGAAGCTTAAGCACTCTAGTATTCAGGATTTCCAACGTTTCAGAAAAGCTGTCTCGCTCTGGCAAAACTGAGGGTGCGCACGCATACTTGTACGAAAGTAGGCTGACGTGTAACGAGCTTAACTTTCCCATCAGCTCTTTTCTTTCTTTTTGAATGTCATCCAATCGTGGATATAATCTGAACGCAGGCGCACAAGCGCTCCTCATTACTTACACTTAAGACTGTTTATGGAGTTCAAGCAGTGTGGCGAAACTTCCGGGAATGCGTGCTGTTTTCCGGCGTTTATTTGTCACCGATAGTCAGAGTTGTTTCCTGCTGAAATCCCGTCGCGAGGTACACGAGGAATAGCGTTGTTTTAGGGCGTGCGTTTGCATTGAGCGGTCGGAAACCCCCTCGCGAAGCTTAGTGCTTGATTGCCCACGAGGGCAAGATCCCCACAACGAACTTCGACTGAACGGTCGATCGATGTGCTCTCGAGGCAAATCCGATACAGTGTAACATTTAGGCCTGCTGCACCTGGTACACGCTAGTACCGTACCAGCGTACCGGTGTACCAGGTATTTTGTATGAGCAAACAGTGTTGTACCAGACGATTTTGGTACGTACCAGGAAATTCCTGGTACAGGTCACTTTTGAGCCCGTCGTGGTGGGAAATCGAGATTTATGACTCGTCAGCGAGGCTCTGGCGCGTGAAAACGACCAAGAGCGCGACACACGAGACGAGCGAGGCGCGCGCGAACGCGAGGGTGCGACCGGGATTTAGCAGCGCGGGTTTAGGCGCGACGTGTTTGGAATTTGAAATGATTTATGATTAGCAAACGCCAGCCATCGACGCTCGATGACGCCCGTCGACGAAGCGGGCGCCGCGCCGAGAAGCGATGACGAAGCACACATTCGACATCAGAGACGTGCGAGGTAGAAGAAAGTGGAGTAGCCGTCGGTGCCGTGGTAGGTGCTGACAGCAATGGTGTTGATGATGGAATCAGAGACGACGAAATCCTCTCATCAGGTGACGAGCATGTGGACCAGTACGTCAAAGACACAGACGAGTGGGTCATGTCCCCACACGCAAACGTTTTGAATCGAACGGAAATGACATGTGTAGGTAACCTCGATGAAAACATGCAGGTACAGGGTGATGACTCACGTCCCCGCTCGGGACAAGGCAAATGTAACTTTTGCATAGGCAGCTCGCAAGGTATTAGAGCGTCAAGAGAAAGAGACACGTAGTAAACATAGAAGATTGAATCGATAGATAGACTTAGCGCGTGAAGTGCGTCGGTTCTCGCGCGGTTCTCGTCGTTTCGTCACCTCCGTATCAGCTCGTACCAGCTCGTACCAGCTGGCCAGTACTGTTTACCCATACGATTAACGCGTTCGGACATTCGGTTGGTACGTCCCAGTACGCTGGTACGTCCCAGGAAATTCCTGGTACGCATTTCAAGCAGTCCTACTACTACTAGAGCGCAGCTCATCACGCTCCATCGCAGCGTTTTGAGACTTCATCCAAGGTGGCAGCCGAAAAAAGCTGACCTGATCGCCGCCCTGACGCTGGAAATATCAAAAGAGATTGAAAATAGGAATCAGCACGCGGAGCCTCACGCTGAACTGCCCGGCGTACCGGTGCCAGCGCCCATCAACGCAATTGACGCAGAAATGCTCAAAATCGCCCACATCGAGCCGATGACGGAGACTCAAACGTCACTCGAGCCGATGCCGATGGGTTGGAAAGATGGAGTGTAACACTAGTGTTGTAATCATTCTTTGATTCTTTGAAATCGGCGAAGCGTCGGCGAGTTGTGAGAATGTTCCCTTAAGGAGACCTCCCCATACATTCTCATACGATTCGGATCCGCGGGCTGGGAGTCACGACGTCGACGTCCGTTCGTCCCCAAACTCGGCGTGTCACGAGTTCGCTAGCTTTCGCGTCGCCTCGTAAAAAATCGTGCGGATCGCACGACGCGCGATGCCGCGACGCGTCGTGGCGACACGCTTAAGGGTAACTCGGTCGCATATTTAATTTTAACCTATAGACTCTATTCGTGATGCAAATAGGCATAATGGGAAACCTGATATACGATCAATTCACGAATTGTTTTGTAGACCGGGTAGGGACGAGGTTGGGTAAAATCTGAATCACCTTCTAAATCACCACCCGAAACAAGGTGATTTGAATCACCTTCACCGCCCATTGAAGGTGATTTACCCAACCTACCGTAGGGAGCGCAGGAATCCTGTACCGGCGAGAGGTGACGACGCGAGTGTCGTGTGGAATGTCTGTGCAGCGGCTGGATTGTGTTTGTGTTTACTGCGGTTCTTCCTCCGGCTTGAAAGCGTCGTACGCAGTCGCTGCTCGGGACTTAGGTCTAGAACTAGCGAAAAGGCAGATTTCCCTGGTGTACGGAGGCGGCTCAGTCGGTCTGATGGGGATAATAGCAGAAACTGTCGACTCTAGCGGTGGATGCGTTACAGGAGTCATACCTAAGTCGCTTGCGCCTGAACATATAAGTGGTAAGACTCCGGGACGTGTCATCCTGACGGAGACTATGCACGAGAGGAAGATGCGAATGGCATCACGCGCAAACGCGTTCATAGCTTTGCCTGGTGGTATTGGCACCCTTGAAGAGCTATTTGAAATAGCTACCTGGAGACAACTTGGACATCACCGGAAACCGATCGGCATACTCAACGTGCAAAACTATTTTGACCCGCTACTTGAGTTCTTAGACGGCGCTGTTGCAGATGGTTTTGTTTCCAGCACTACACGGTCAATATTTGTTGTGGGGACAAGTGCTTCGGAATTGCTGAATAAACTCGGCTGCGGTCTTAGTTCAGTCGCTGTGCCAGATTTGTGTAGTAGGTAAACTGCTTTTCAAATATTGGCCGTGACTGTAGATCTATGTTGTATTAAACTATGCATAACCTGCGTCCGGGTCGTCCAATATGCTGACGTGCACAGCTTTCTCAAGTGGACGCTGGGGTTTCCCCAGTTCAGGCTGTAGTTCTGCAGCCAAAGTACGTTCAAAGCTAAACAGACTGGCTTGAATGCCATGAATATTGGTTCTACGGGCGTCGCGGACGAAGTATCTAGTATCATACACGCGCGAGCTACTTGAGTGCGGAACGGATACGTGTGTGGGGCGACTCGCTGGAGAACGAGAGCGATACTCACAAGTCGCCAGAGGGACGTCTCGCCATTCGCCGTCAGATACAGGACCTGTTAATCTCCACGGAGCTATCAACCGTTGCAGCTGTTCAGAACGGCCAACTGACTTTGCAGCGGTGTTAGCACTTAGTTTTTGCATCACCGCGGTACCAGCGCACACACCGAAGTGGAGTCTGAGGTCAAATTCATCTCCTTCCGGAAAAATCTATATTGCACCGCTTCAGAGGATCTGCCTAAATCCAGCCTTGTTTTGGGGAGTGTGTGAAACGACCAATCATGACTTAAGAGCTATTTACGTATAATACAGAAAATATACGGATGTGTTACTAGGGGTGGCATTTCTCCTGATTTACCTTGCACAAATTTCGGCAAGTTTTCGCAACACGCGACATGTGTGCGCGGATAACGCGCCGACGAGGCAGCGAAGACGCGCGTCGCGATGAACAGTTGTAGATACATGCATGTTACATCAGATTCATCGGACATAGCGACGTCCTCACGCAGTTCCTCGCGCTCTGGTACTCCACCCCAAGCTCTCAAGAAACCACGTCTAAACCCTATCTAAACCTACATAGGGTTTAGGTGTCTATTTCTCGCGAGTGTTCTACGCGCACAGGCGCTCGACGTGTCACTTTCATCCGCGTTACGGGCTTCAGAAAGGACTTTGAACGCCTTGTGGTGTTCATCGTATCCACTTAACTGTGGTGTCAGCGCGTATTGCACGTGCTGTGCATGTGTCATCAACCCTAACTAGGGTTTGGTTAGGGTTTATCTAGGGTTTGAGCAGGATTCAAGGTGTCTCCTCACGGCTCTGTCAGAGTGAGGTTGTTCTACCTTCTACATTCGACTGAGCGATTTCTTCTCGTGAGAACGTCAATGATCCGATAGTGTGTGATGGATACTACGTGTGGCGAAGCATGCGCACGTCCTCCCTGCCTCGTCGGCGCGTTATCCGCGCACACATGTCGCGTGTTGCGAAAACTTGCCGAAATTTGTGCAAGGTAAATCAGGAGAAATGCCACCCCTAGTAACACATCCGTATATTTTCTGTATTATACGTAAATGGCTCTTAAGTCATGATTGGTCGTTTCACACACTCCCCAAAACAAGGCTGGATTTAGGCAGATCCCGCTTCAGAGAGTCCCTACATGACTGACGAGTCACGAACCGCCAAATACTTTTCCAGGAAAAGCAGGAAAAAGGAATATTCTTTAATATTCTCGGAATATTTCACGTTCTTGCGGCCTGGCGACGCTGACGGCGTTACTTCACGTCGCGCTTTACCCGTCTCGATGAGCGGATCTGAAGCCCTCGCGCACGCGGGTCGCGCGCTCCTCATGGCAGGAGGCGAAGCGACCAAGAACTTCGAATGGATCGTCGTCATCGGCGGCTTCCTGGCGTTTTTCGCCGCCTTCGGCATCGGTGAGTCCCGATTCAATTTCCAATTCTCGTTTGTAACGACGCGCGCACGAAAGTAGCACTCGAGCGAGAAAAAACCGCAGAAAGTTCTAAGAAACATCTCGACTGACGCGAGTAACGCCACTCCGCCGCGCAGGTGCTAACGACGTCGCAAACGCTTTCGCCACTTCCGTCGGTTCCGGCGCGCTCAGCATCAAGAGCGCCGTCGTGCTCGCTGGTGTTTTCGAGTTCTGCGGCGCCATGTTCATGGGTGGACACGTCGTGGAAACGATGCGTAAGGGTGTGACCGATCAAAAGTGCTTCAACGGAAAGTCGGGATCGCACGATCCCGTCCTACTGATGTATGGCTGCCTCTGCGTCATCTTTGCAGTTGGCGTCTGGCTCGTCGTGGCGTCCGCCCTTGAAATGCCTGTTTCCACCACGCACTCCTGCGTTGGCGGTCTTATCGGAATGACGCTCGTTGCACGTGGTGACGACTGCGTCGTTTGGTCTAAGAAGGCGGACGAGTTTCCGTACGTTAAGGGCGTCGCTGCCATTGTCGTTTCCTGGGTTCTCTCCCCGGTGATTTCAGGCTGCTTCTCCTTCGCTATGTTTTTGATTCTTCGAACGCTCGTGATGAGAAGCGAGAACTCTTTCAGCCGCGTCTCTTATGTGTTTCCGGTGTTGTTTGGTGCCACTCTCATCATCAACGTTTTCTTCATCGTCTACAAGGGCTCTCCTCACCTCGGTCTCAAGGACACGCCGGTGGGTACGGCGTGCGCTGCCGCATTCGGAGTCGGTGGCGGTGCCGGTATCCTCTCATACTTCTTAATTTCTCCGTACATCGTTAGGCGAACCGAGGAACTGTACGCCCAGGAGCAAGCTGAACAGGCTGAGCGGGGCTCCGGTAAGAAGGTTGAAGAAACGGTTGTTCGCCAGCCTCGCGAGTATCCCAGGGGTGTCTTTGGAGCTCCGACTCGCGTCTGGTATGCGATCCAAGATCACCTTGAAACGTCTCTCGCTGTCAAGGCCTCCGACCTTATCGAGGAAGACATGGCGGTGAACGCTATCCACGACAACGCTGAGAAGTTCGACGAAAAGACCGAGTTGAGCATGAGATACCTTCAAATTTTGACGGCGTGCTGCGATGCGTTCGCGCACGGTGCTAACGACGTCGCGAACTCAATCGGCCCCTTTGCCACCATCGTCCTGGTTTACAAGGCTGGCAAGGTGAGTACAAAGAAGAAGGATCCCATGGGAGACGACGCGTACTGGATTCTCTCCCTTGGTGCCCTTGGCATCGTCGTCGGTCTCGCTCTGTATGGTTACCGCATCCTGCACGCGCTCGGGACCAAACTCGCGAAGCTCACCCCTAGTCGAGGTATTTGCATTGAACTTGGCGCTGCGTGTGTCATCATTTTGGGATCTCGAATGGGCTGGCCGCTTTCCACGACTCACTGCCAAGTCGGCGCCACCATGGGTGTCGCCATGCTTGAAGGGCGTAAGGGCATCAACTGGTTCATCCTCGCTAAGACTGTGGCTGGTTGGATCATCACCCTCGTCGTCGTCGGTTTCTCGACTTCGGCCTTCTTCGCCCAAGGCGCATTCGCTCCGATGGTTCACTACCCGTGCTACATCGCTGCCACTGCCAAGGACTCCATCTCCGAGGCGCTGTGCACGATTTAAAGTCACGTACGTGTTCTCGCGTGCTGCGGCGCCTTTAATAATAAGACAAACCCTGAGAGTTACCAAGGGTCACCTTACCGTTATTAATAGTAACCTTCAAGGCAATTTAAGGATGAAACGAATCGTTTCCATGTTAAAAGTCGCACATTTTCCCTCGCGTTAAAGGTCGATATGCTGCTTTCACTACAAAAGACGCGACGCGGTGAGGGCATGTTTCAACTTTGAGCGCTGTGCTGGACGATGCGCTTTTTCAGTTCGAGCATACGCTGCTGGAGCCGGAAGTTGAGCTGCGGCGTCATCACGCCACTTTCCATCGTACTCTTATACTCCTTCTGAAGCTCTTCGATCTGTTTTTGCAACGCGTGAAGCATCCCAACGTCGTCACCAGAGTCGGTGGCGTTGCCTCGTGAGCTGACTTCAGAATGGTTGCTCTGAGCTCCCACGTCGGCGGCTCCTCGTCTCGTAGATTTTACCCCACCGTCTCGCGCAAAGCTCAAATCAGGGATGGGTGCAGAATTGCGATCGACGTACCGATCGTCAGCCGCGTGAACACGCGCTTCGTCGGAGGAGATGAACTGGGGGCGGGACTGTTCGCACATGCTGAGTGGTTGTGAAGGTACTTGCGTCGCGGCGAATTCCCAGCCACCGATGGCTCTTCGTACTTCAGGCGGTAGATCTGCGTCAAGCGCGGAAGAGTCAATGCCGTACGCTTCTATTTTATTTTGTAAATGCTGCTCCAGCCGTGATTTTCGAATACTTTTGACGTACTTACGCCAAGATCTTTCATCCAAACCATAGTTGAAGAACGCACTAAGGTCTGCGCCTCTCTCTCTCCACGGGGCAACGTCTATGTTATCTAAATCTAGATCGAAAATACCTCCGTGACCGAGCTGAAGAAACTCTTTGTATTCATCTGGCGGAATGAAACGTGCGCCTCCACCTCCACCAGGAAGGACTCTCTGCCCCTTGTCGTCATATCGAGCATTCGGTGTTTGCCCGTTGTACGTGTTGAGCCTACCGTCCGGTAAGTGGGATAAACGCGCCTCTTGTTGTACTGGAGCACCGGGTGGCGGTGCCGGTGGCGGTGTCAGCAGCGATTCCTGGTTGTGTCTCTCTAAAACTCCTGCGAGCTCAGTCAGGCAAGACTCTGCAAGAAAGTTTTCGATTGCGTCTTACTCTCGGTTCTCTCTCTCGTGGGTTGGGCGTAGAGCTAAGTTATATAGTTTTAATTGGAGAAATGCGTAAGAATTATTAGTGGCTCACCTGACCGAACAATTCTAACTCGTCGTCCCGCTCGCCGCGGACGCTCATTCTTTCCCAGCACGTGTCCTACCCGTCTAAGTGGCCTCTAGTCCGCTACAGATTTCGACGAGGACGCGTGAGTAGTGCGTGAGATCACTCCAATTATGACGTCGCACCCCGATCGCTTGCGCGAGGACGCGGCGAGAACGCAGACGGCCGCGGAATGCCGAGTAGATCTCTTCTGCGGGTTGTTGCTGAGTTCCGTTGTCAGTCAACCACTGCAGGATAAAACGGGTGGAACAGAACGCTGATACAAATATTCGCTCGGCATCTTCACGAGTTGCGCCATTCATACATCTACAAGTAAGCGCTGGCGCGTGGTCACCACACGATGTTAAAGATATTGCATTAATGCCCGTGACGTGAACAATGTATGTATTGACGAGTCAGGAACCGGAATTACCCCCCTCAAAAGGTATATGGATTCGTGGAGACCTGATTTTCTGGACCCGCGCGCCGGCGCCGTCCGAGCGGTCACTCGAGGGCGCGTTGTGAGCATTAACGTGCCTTTGGTTCAAACCTCTCGTTTCAACGCTCGCGGTAGCGGTTCGACGACGCGCGGCGCGCGGCAAATTTCGGTAAAATCGAGCAATTTCCGAGCCGCAGAATTTTTTTTCAAAAATGTATGGGAAAAGGTAGTTTTTGGACGACGGAGAACGCTGTAGACGCTTTCAGACGGCGAGATCGGCAGTGATTGGTGTCGTCACTGTTCACAACGTTCGTGCGGCGTCGAGGCAGGTAGGGTGAAGATGTTGCGCGATTCAACTCATCGGTCACTAAAGATGCGTTCACGATGCCACCTGGAGATACGTCAAAAATCGGTCACGCTGCCCCGCACGACAGCTTGCTCGATCGCCTGACGCGGAGTTCTCGAACGCGCGAACTTCGTCCGTCGTTGCCGCGAATCTCGCGCGCGCCGTAGACGCTCGAGCGGTCGCACTGTGGAGACCAATCGATGAATCACATCGCGTGCAGTCACATCAATTTGCACCTTAACGCGCGTTGCGACGCCGAATCGCGACGAAAGTCGCTCAAATTTGGAGAGGAAAGTGAAAAAACGTCGACGAATCGATCCGCGGCGTGAACTCGCGCCGTGTTTTCTAAACCCTAGAAAATAGGGTTTACGGTCAATATTGCTCGCCCCAGCGTCGCGCCTCCTTTCGACGCCGCGACGCGCGAGCGCGCGCGATCGGCAAACGAGACCGTTCGCGTTCGCGTTCGCGCTCGCGCTCGCGTTGTCGCCGTCGCCGCGCGCGGGCCCAGAAAATCAGCTCCCCAACGCATCGCGACTCGTCGCGTCAACGAGGGGTCTTCGACGGGTCGTGACTCGCGTTTCTCTCGTGTACCCCCTCGCCGGGTGGTTAAAGCTCCAAAAAGAGGTCGATTCCCGACACGTCGTGCGCAGTGTCAAAATCCATATACCGCGGGAGGGTCACCGACCCTCGAGTTACACTCTTCGGGTATGGTGACAATACACTACAGTTCTACCGGTACCCCCAGTCTATTTCATCAGTCTATTTTGCTCCATACGTCGTTGCACTTTGCACAAAGAGACACGCTCTCAGCGTGCAATCATAATTGATCTGATCCTCGGCGTCATTGTACGCTTTTTAGCACTTAGCCACATTCCTTTCATGCTCAAAACCCCTTCAAACGCACACAAATTTTGAGTGGCACGCAGCAGCTTGAGCCTATTCTGAGAGGCGCTTTGTTCACACTTGAGAACCATACCTCCTCGAAGCATACCGTATGCGACACACCGTTCGTTAGATCCAAGGCCTAGAAAGATCTTACCTGCGGAGAGTGTTGCGGTCACAGAGTGCATAGCGTATCCAACGCAGCGTGCTGCGATCTCTCCACCAAGCTGGGCCGTCAGAAATTCTGTACGAAGGTGCGAACCGACATCGACAACGATGCCAAGCGGCGAAACTTTTGTAATGACGCCAACACAAGTTTCTCCTAGCTTCGGGACGCAGCTTGAGCCGCGAAATGGTGCAATTTTCCGTCGTCCAGCAAGTTTCTGCGAACCCGCCGTCCGGCACACGAACTTGCACACTCCACGTCGAGACTGACTTTCAGTAGCGCCGCGTCGCTGTACTTGAGGCGAATCACCGGGTACAAGCAGCAAAAAGGTCATCCCAAGCCGAAGCGCGAGACTGTTGGTTCCAACACGTAAACGACTCGACTACAGGACCGAACCGCGCTTCACTGTAGCACGGCTTTTTCGCGGGAAGCCGACAACGAGTTCTGGGATAATGAAGAGTACCTTTCGTCGAGCGTTCATGACTCGAGAGTATTCGTGTATGGGTAAACAGTGTCCGATTCGGAAGGTATCCGGCGTTTTTTACAGGGGTCTTTTTTTCGCGTTTTTTTCTTGAGTTACAACTCAGGGCAAATCGAGGGGGTCGCAACTTTTGCAACATAAATTTATCGTGGGAGAGAAGAAGGGAGTGAGGCATGCAGACCTTCGTAGTCCAAAGTGCGCGCCACCCGATCGTTTGCGTCGTCCAAATCCAAGGAAAGATCGAAAGAAATGGGTTCTTCGTGCTTGATACCGTGCGGTGGCTTGTAATTGTTCGTCCCGTTGGCGTCGAGGATGCATTTGGTGACTGCAGTTTTGACAACCCAGCATCTCTGAAGTCTCTCGCGGTCATGATATTCATGGTATTGCTCCACCATGAGGTTCCAAAACTCGTCCTTATTGGCAGCGCTGTGTTCGATCTCACGTTCGTGCTCTTGAACGAACTTTGATAGCGACCTAAAGAAGCAGAGATCGTTCAAGTTGGTGTCCGGCGAGTTGGCCGGTTGCAACACAAATTTGATCATTGGCGCTTGCTTCCCATCGATGCGCTTCCGTTCCTTTCCAGCAGCGTTTAAAGCGTCCATGCACTTCACATGAGGCCGTGCGCCATCCATCTGTACAAAGACGATGTCAAAGTCTGCCATTTTCGTATAGATGTCCGGGATCAACTTCTCGGTGACTAACTCGTGGAACATGTGTGCCTCAACATCACAGTCTTCGTCACACACGTCTCCTCGTTCGTGAAACTTGCTCCTTCGCTGCGCAACCTTTTCGCGTGCGCAGCGATACATTCCTATTCGTCCGTCGAAGTCGCCGCACGGTCGCGCAACGGCGCACAGGCCCATCACTTTTTGAACGAACCGCTTGCTCTTTGTCTGCACCCTTGCTCGCCGCTGCTGTCCTGGGTGCACCTTCACAGCTCTCTTCCGAAGCATATCCCACCATTTCTCGTCAATGTCGATCCATCCTACTGTTTTTGTCTTTGCTACGTTCGGGTATCGCAAGTTTTCCGTCCCCGTCCAAGTGTAATCAAGATGCTGCTTTGCCCACTCCAATCTTCTCTGCACGTCTTTTGCGCTGAGGCAAGGTACATAGCGCTCGCACACTTGGCGCCAGCCGGCTGTTTTACAAGATTCAAATACAGTTGTACACGATACGTCCTTACCTGTTCTTTCCGTGAACCGCTTCGTGATCGATTCCCACGTGAAGTAACCTTTGAGCTCTTCTGCACAGATTCTCGAGCGTCTTCATGTCATCCTCCGTCAATGCACGCGGGCGCCCACTTCTCGGTCGAGAATCAACGTTTTCCTCCGTACGCCACCGACGTAGGATCCTGTATCCATGAGTCTTGCTTATATTCCATTCCTTGCATACATCTGATACCGAGGCTTGTCCGTAACGCACGGCAAAGTGCACACACTTGGCAAAAGCAACCCTCTCCGTGTCGCTCAGTTCCCGCCCATCGCGCTCTCGCACGCCGGTTGGAGCCTTGAATGGACTCAACAGAGGACCAAGAACTGTGCGCGAGGGTGTTTTCTCACGCTTCCGCAGCTCTCGCTCACCAGTCGAGTGCGCGCGTCGCCGTGAACCTCCAACTTCGTCCGTCGACGCGCGCGATTCAAACTCGATGGCGTGCGCTCTTCCTCGCCCCCTGAGCGCTCGGTGCCTTGGTTTAACACACCAAGCGGCCAAAACATGTGAAACTTGGCACACGAGCTCTCCGTCGCGCCCCGGGTCGATTTGTGTCGTCCGCGCGTGCGCTGACGCGCGGAGCACGCGCGTTTCGAATTTTTTCGTCGATGGGCGGGCACGCGTAGAAAAAAGGAGAAAACCCTAGGAGGGGTAAAAATTTAGCTAAATCGCTCTCGAACTTTTGCAACTTTTTTCGCGTTTTCCTATCATTTGGGAGATCGAGCAAAATGGAAATCATCTTGTTGCGGCGATTTCACGTAAATTCAGAGAGAAAAACTTGCATGGGCGTACGGGAAATTTCAACAGCTTTCCAACGGTATGCGACACATCCCGATCGGATGCGATGTCGCTTATAACAAAGCTCTTTCCCACTACTTTCCGAAAGGAGGTGAGTACAACCGCAATTTTTGCTCTTCTTGCATCTTGCAGGTTCAATTTTCCCCACCACTAGCGCATGGATAACGCGCGCGGAACGCAACGAGAAAGCGCGAGTCCGTAGAGATTTAGCCACGCCCCTTCGTCGTGATACCTCCTTCCCAGACGAAACGTGTTTTTGGTCGAGATACCGGGGGCCCTTTACGACTCGACACTTGTAACAGAGAGTTGCGACGACGTCAGAGTCTAGCGTACGGTACGCCTTTCTTAAGCTTTCCACGTCCTATAATCATCACAGAGGCTTGATCCTAGCCTACCGTAGCATGTCTATCGGTGTGGTGGACTACGATTCGACGCAATTCCCGTCACTGAAGCAGTTCGAGCAACAAGTTGTGTACGTCACCGAAGAGACAGTGGGCAACATTGTCAAGATACCCTGCGTGTTCAACCACTTGAACGAATACCGGTCGAGGTTCTATCGACTTTTACTTGAAGAAGCGAAATCAGACGTGCGAATCGCCTACGAAACTACGCTAGGTACTCATACCTGTCACAAGACATTCCTTTTCCTAACTGTAGACAAGGATCCCAAGGTGCATTGAAGATAGCCGTTCAGCGCACGTGGAACGAAAACGGCTGTACATTTTTCGAATTTTACGTTCGAAGCGTGGATAGACCTCCACTTGCTGATGGCACAGTTGTGTATCTAAGTTTGTCTGAGTTAAGTAAACCTCGATCACACACAAAGTGTTGTGCTTCAGTCATAACGCAGTCGAATGAACGGTCTAACAAAGTCGAAGCGAGATTGATTGAACCCATCAGCGAAGCAGCTCATGATCTAGGCAGTATATTGGAATGTATACGTGCAAGCTCTGCAAAGCATCTTTGGGCCATCCCGGCAACCCGTCTTACGACCCATACGCGGCACTTTGATGCGTTGGCCGCACTTCAGGATACACGATCAGTGCGTGTAACTTTCAAGTAGCTTTTGTTCCTCTTCTGATAATTTGATAGCATTTCCAGCGTTTTCTCATCAAGCCAAGCAGCTCAAATGTGGAAGAGCCTGCAAGTTCTGCACTTACGAAGCTTGGACTTGAAAACTCAAAGTTTGCTACCTTACTCAAGTCAACTCTGAATGATCCTCAATTCGAAGCTTTACTTTTATCGGCACATCATGCTACTCGTTTTTCGTGTTCTGATCACTATTCCGTACCTTTTTCATTGATTCAGGGTCCTCCTGGTACAGGGAAAACAAAAGTCATCGTAAGTTGTGAGTTATCATATTTGATGAAAATGATCACTTTTGCCAAAATAGACTAGTTTGGCCAATGCGCTCCATTTATTGCAGTTTCAGTATTATTTTGACTCAATTACAGCATTGATCAGTCGCCAGTCGAAGGCACAGGCGCCGTCCATGAAAAGAAAACGAACTATGGTGCATGCCGTTGACACACAAACGCTGAAACCCCGTATACTGATATGTGCTCCTAGTAATGCCGCGGTCGACAACGTTCTTGATCGTATCATTCACAATAGATTCTTGCAGATGGACGCTTCGCAATATTCGCCTGATGTTATGAGACTAGTGTCGGGTGAAGCAAACGTCTCGATGACTGCACAGGCCGTCTCGATAGAACACCGCGTGAAAAGCCTCGTGGAAATGTCAGCGGATGATTGGAGTGCGTGGTACTCGCGTCAGTATCATACTTTTACTACGTCAGAATTGAAACTAAAGGAGAAATTTGAAGCACAATGCGAAGATGAGCTTTGGGAATCAAACATCCTGCAGTTGCATGAAATACGTGACAGAGCACTGGGTGATCTCGCTAGACTGGAAAGACTTCGTCCTCTTCATGGTGGATCCGTAGCAGGAGATCTTCGAATGATACGTGAGATTTCTGATGATCTCGCTGCTTCTTTTGTAGACGAAGCAGAAATCGTATGCTGCACGCTGACTTCACTGAGTAAGAGGTTCTTTCGAATTAACTCGAGACCTTTCAAGACAATCATAGTCGACGAGGCATGTCAAGCGATTGAGCCGGCGACACTAATCCCATTAACGATATATAACGCTCACTGCGTACTGGTCGGTGATCCGCAGCAACTCCCAGCCACTGTCAAATCAAGAGTCGCGAAAACGGCACGTTATGATAGATCACTATTTGAGAGGCTGATGGAAGCTGGAGTGCCAGCAAAGCTACTAAGTATTCAGTACAGAATGCATCCTGAAATCAGGTGCTTTCCGTCGTGTGTATTTTATTCGGGAGCGTTGGTAGACGCGCCGAAGCTTGATCAGAGCAGGTATTTGCCAGCTCACAAATATTGGCCTTTCAAGCCTTTCATGGTGTTTGATGTAGTTCAAGGACAGGAAGAGCGAGCGTCAACTCTGTCACGATACAATAAAAACGAGGCAGTCTTCATCGTGGATTTACTGGTGAGATATCTTACTTTATTCCCATTAACTCGCAAAAGCAGACTTGACATCATGGTACTGAGTGGTTACAGGGAACAATGCACACTCGTCCACAGATTACTTCAGCAGACGTCGATAGTCAACTGTGTCAATGTTAGTACCATTGATGCGTTCCAAGGTCAAGAAAGCGATGTGATTGTTCTATCGTGTGTAAGAACGTCGGCAACTGACATTGGTTTTCTTGCGGATCTGAGGCGCTTGAACGTGGCAATAACGAGGGCCAGGTGTTCTCTCTGGGTCATCTGCAAATGTGAAACCGTGTCGAAATTCCACATTTGGCAGCTTTTGTTAAAAAATGCTAAAGAACGCGGATGTTACACAACTAGCTTAGACGCAATATTTTCATCAACTAAGGAAACTAAGCGTACTCTGTTCGCTAAATGTAGTGATGGTTCGGGGTAAGACCGCTCTTGTAAAATTCTTTGCAGTACATAAGAAGTTGAGTGTACCAAGGTTTGTACTCGTGGTCCTACCCAGACCTCCTTGTTTTCTGTCTATTTCAATGGATAGTTGTTTCAATTGTTTGGTATCCGTTTCGCTATCGTGTGAAGTGCTTATCACTTTAAGTATGATCATAAGGAAATATTCCAAATGTTCAGACACCGATAGAAGCTCCTTGCACACGGTCAGGAAATCTTGTGTAACAACTCCTGAATGACCGCATAAAAACACTTTTTGCTCCTGAATAGGTGTGTTGTAGAGCACTGCCATCAGTAGAGATGTATTTTTACTCAATAAAATCGCTGAATGGATGACGGAATTGAAGTCCTTGCGTTGCCAAGCACCCAGAACATTAGACAAGCTCGTATCTTCACTCAAGTGAGTGCGCCCGTGGTTTCCATTTTCTCCCTCATACTTGTATATATGAACACCTTCTTCGGCAATAAGCCCCCATGTATCGGAACCTGCGCTATAAACCAGTTGACCCACATTATTTTGAGTGCTCAGGGAGGCACTGGGCTGCGACGTATACTTCTTCAGTAGGACAAAATCGTGCGAATCATAAACGCACAAGTTTGCGTCTGATGAGCTCGCGAAAAGTAATGTTTCGCTTGAGTTATACTGTAGAGAGACGAAATTTGCGGAGACCCCCCGATCTCCTAGTGTATCTCGACTATAGTCGGCTGAGCCCAACATCTGGTTATTTTGAAAGTTCCAAATTAGCAACTGCTGACCCATAACTGCTGCCACAAGTTGCCTCTTACCAGGCGCTACTGCAACCGCAAGAACTTCACGAGTATGCGGTAAAAGTTGACAATTATGTTCACTGCGTTCCATATCCCACACACGCACTGTGTTGTCCCACGAACCTGATACGATGAAACCGGTGGAGAAGCGCAACGAAGATATTACTCCAGTATGACCCGAGAGGACATCAAGAAGCTGTGCGCTCTTGAAGGACCAAAGTAGTATTTGACACGAGTCTATAGCACTCGCACATACGATTTCACCGCTTTCATCGATGGCGACCTCGTTGAATCTACTGTCAAAGGGTGAAGTGAAGACTCGAAAGCTACGAAGTCTGACAGTGTCATACGCGCGTACAGTTCCATCATAACCTGCTGAGACGAAAACGTTACCGGATTGAAGATGTTTTACAGATGAAACAACGCTTTTATGCTCAATGAACGTCGCTACGCACAAACTAGCTCGGATGTTCCACAAATTGATGATGCCGCTGTGTGATCCAGTGACCAGGTTATTTCCTTCGAGACTCAAACTCACACAGTTCACACTCGCAGCTTCGTTTCGTATATCTAACTTGAAACTCTCCGATCCAGACTCCCACACCACTACTCTTTCACGTCCAATTAAGGCGAGGCAATCTGTCATCGTATCGAAACAACAGTGCTGTATACGAAATCCAAAAATGTGCTTCTCGACTTGCTCCGCACTTCTAGTTTCAAACAGTTTTAAGATTCCAGAAGGTGAGACGGCTGCCAAATGTGTTGCCGTAGTGTTGAATGCTGCACACTCAACTTTATCGTCCACTATCAGTTTTTGATGGCGAGTCAACTTGCTCAGATGTATGAAGCCGTCGATGTTGACTTGAGCCAACGACCATAATAATAAAGTTCCATCGTGATTCACACCAATGGCGTTCGTCTCGTCGCTGAAAGCTAAAGCTACTGGTGTGAAATACTCACCAAACGACATACTCTGATACCCCTCGGACTCAGCGTACCAGTACAACTGTTGTAAGTTACTTCCGTGGGCCATGAACCAGCCTAGCTGATTTTTTCCTGCAAAACTGGTGAATGTACCTTTATCCACAAATGCTCGCATCATTGATCCCAAAGATTTGCTGCTACTCATTTGCCATATTTCGATCAATTCTTCGCACAGAACGGCTATGTGTATCCCATTAACGTTCGCGTTTGAGATGATTTTCACTTTTCTGGGACGCTTGACGTTCTTCTGTTGCACCTTTTTGCCTGTGGATGTATTGAACACTAGAAGGTTTCCACCCTGGTCCAATGCAGCGAGTAGGTTGCCATCAACATCGATATCAAATGCCTTGATATAACTCGTTCCACTCACGAATGTGCGTCCACTTGTAGACACACGAGTATCAATATCCGAAATCGCGCCGCCAGTACTGACGAAGAGTCTCCCTTGAGCGTAAACAGTGGCGCAAGGCACATATGGTGCGTTTAGGATGCTCTGGACCTTGAAATCGGGCATTAAAATCTGTTTGAATGCCACAACCTGCAGCTTTCGCGCGGAACGCAAGTGTCGCGCGAAGTGATGGTTAGTGCTTCACAACCAGGGCCGAAGTTGTGAAAGTGCGTCAAAATTAGGGTGGCACGCTCTGGTTGGGCGTGGCTAAATCTTTGTCTGAAGTAACTTTTTATCGTCCCTGTACACCATATTTAATATATATTGTCACCATACCCGAAGAGTGTAACTCGAGGGTCGGTGACCCTCCCGCGGTATATGGATTTTGACACGGCGCACACGACGAGTCGTGAATCGACCTCTTTTTGGGGCTCTAAAATCCCGGCGAGGGGGTACGCGAGAGAAACGCGAGTCGCGACCCGTCGAAGACCCCTCGTTGACGCGACGAGTCGCGATGCGTTTGGGAGCTGATTTTCTGGACCCGCGCGCGGCGACGGCGACGGCGACAACGCGAGCGCGAGCGCCAGCGCGAACGGTCTCGTCTGCCGATCGCGCGCGCGCGTCGCGGCGTCGTAAGGAGGCGCGACGCTGGGGCCGTCCATATTGACCGTAAACCCTATTTTCTAGGGTTTAGAATACGCGGCGCGAGTTAACGTCGTGGATCGATTCGTCGACGTTTTTTCACTTTTCTCTCCAAATTTGAGCGATTTTCGTCGCGATTCGGCGTCGCAACGCGCGTTAAGGTGCAAATTGATGTGATTGCGTGCGATGTGATTCACCGATTGGTCTCCACAGAGACGTGCGAGGTAGAAGAAAGTGAAGTAGCCGTCGGTGCCGTGGTAGGTGCTGACAGCGATGGTGATGATGATGGAATCAGAGACGACGAAATCCTCTCGTCAGATGACGAGCATGTGGACCAGTACGTCAAAGACACAGACGAGTGGGTCATGTCCCCACACGCAAACGTTTTGAATCGAACGGAAATGACATGTGTAGGTAACCTCGATGAAAACATGCAGGTACAGGGTGATGACTCACGTCCCCGCTCGGGACAAGGCAAATGTAACTTTTGCACAGGCAGCTCGCAAGGTATTAGAGCGTCAAGAGAAAGAGACACGTAGTAAACATAGAAGATTGAATCGATAGATAGACTTAGCGCGTGAAGTGCGTCGGTTCTCGCGCGGTTCTCGTCGTTTCGTCACCTCCGTATCAGCTCGTACCAGCTCGTACCAGCTCGTACCAGCTCGTACCAGCTGGTCAATACTGTTTACCCATACGATTAACGCGTTCGGACATTCGGCTGGTACGTCCCAGTACGCTGGTACGTACCAGGAAATTCCTGGTCCGCATTTCAAGGGGCGTGGCTAAATCTCACCGGGAAGCAACTTTTTATCAAAATATATCACGTATTGTGATTCTATCCAAGACCAACATTTTCAAATAAATAATACGATAATGATAGTACGTATATAATACATCTACTGTGGTATGACTTTACTCATCGGGTCCCGCGACCTTCCTCGGGTGATTTTTGAATGACGCGAATATGTGTTCTCGAGATACACTATTGCGTTTTCCAGAGTCCATGTTCGACCGGTTTCCGACGTCGGGCGTGGTTTACCTCGTGAAAATTCGTGAAAAACTCTTCTCGTGGTGAAAACGAGTGAATCAGACGTAACCGACCACCCGCCATGATGATTCACCGCTCGAAAACGATGGTATGTGATCCACGTGAGATGAATCAGGCAGTTTTGCGTCATGGAATCGCTCAGACGTGCGCCCATTACGTTCGACATCACGCTGCTGTCCTTCCTTTGCGAGCAGAAACTCAAATACTCTAAACCCTATATAGGGTTTAGTTAGGGTTTAACTAAACCCTACATGTGTTCATCGACGCCAAATGCTCGTCGACACGCATCGATTCGACGTTCGCGCCACAGCAGATGCTCAAATCGTGCACAGAAAGCGTTTCACACACGCGCTTCTCGACGGTAAGCGTGTTTGATGTTCGAATGATGTCGGCATTCACGAATGCTAAACCCTAGTTAGGGTTTGGCCAAACCCTAACTAGGGTTCGGAGCGTCTTATGAAAAGTTCACGCGTGTCAGCACCAGACGAGAGTTGCAACGTCGATGGCGCGCGTTGTCAGCAAATCGGCATCATGGAAGTCATTGATTCACCAAGAGCAGGTGTGTTGTCATCGTTTCAAGTGTTTGTACCGTATTCATCGTGGATTCGTCATTCACACCGCTTCGTTTCACACCTTTAGGTGTCGCTGCTGTTGTTTGTCACAAATTTTCACAAGGTTAAAACACCCGAAAGTGGCTCAACGTCCGGGGAGTCCCAAAGAAGCGTGGAGTCAGGACTGGTGGTGTTTTTGGTCATTTATGCCGTTTTTATATTTTTACAATGGCTTAACTCTGTCTAATGTACGATCAATAGTTTGATAAAAAGTTGCTTCCCGGTGAGATTTAGCCACGCCCCGCGTACGGGGCCATAAGCTGCCGACGAGAGTGGATGGTCAGCGCTTGCGGTGGAACGAAGTGCGCGTCTAATCTCGCAGTAAGCGCTGCTGTGAATTATGCACATGCCGCGCACTTCCCAACAACTCAAGACTGCGCCCAAGTCTAGCTTAGTTAGGAAGCACAGGTGGATGGTGAGAGCCAGTGCTCGTTGTGTCAGCAAGTCTCGGAAAATAGCACCTCGCGCCTCAAAGAATAGAGAAGACGAGCCGCGTCATCTCAAACTTCACATCGTTGTAGCTGGTGGGGGCTTGGGTGGACTATTTCTGGCCATCTGTCTGACAAAGAAAGGCTTTGACGTGACAGTGCTGGAGCGTACCCAACAGTATAGAGCTTATGGAGGTCCCATACAACTCGCGAGTAATGGTACCGGTGTTCTGAAGGCAGTCAGTCAACGATTGTACGATATCGTCCGACAGAATAGTCGTTCTTTCTGGGAGACTACGAGCGGTATTAAGGACGGCTCCAACGGGGCATGGTTGTTCAAGTTTGATGCAATAACAGAGATACCCAAGAAGCTCCAGTTACCTTTCGCGGTATGCGTCGATAGATCGGATTTGCAGAGTTGCCTATTGAACGAGATCAGTGCCATTAATGAAGATGATTCATACGGCTGTACAGAACTAAGAATGGGAACGAAGGTACAGTCATACACGCAAGACAAAGTTTCCGGTAAAGTTAGGGCACAACTTGTCGGCGCGGGCTACGTTGAGGGCGATATTTTAGTCGGCGCTGACGGGATTTGGAGTGACGTGCGTGCCCAAATGCTATGTGAACCACTAAGGGGACGAGGCTCTCAGAGCACTGCTTCTCACACAGGCTTCAAACTATTTAGCGATCTGCCCATCTATGAAACTGGTGATTTTTTTGATATCGGTTACTGTGCATATATAGGCCCCAATCACTATTTTGTCACATGCCCTGATCGCCGTGGGCGCATCCAGTGGTATGCGTTCATCAAGGGCGAACCGGATGGTGAGCTAGTAGGAAGTCCAAAAGGCTTTTTGTTGCACCAGTTTCGAGATTGGTCTAGCGAAGTCAAATCTTTGATTTCTGTTTCTGATGACGCAAATATCACTCAACGAGATCTATGGGATCGTCCTCCTTGTTTGAAAGGATGGTCAGACGGAAACGTGGTACTCCTGGGAGATTCATGCCATGCTACCATGCCAAATATTGGTCAAGGCTGTGGTTTGGCGTTTGAAGATGCTTTTGTTCTTGCAGACATTCTAAGCAATGTGCAGGATCTAGGTGAAATTGAAAGATCACTAAAAACATATTGTGCAAAGCGTTTGGGCCGCACAGCTGCTATACAAGGTCTTGGACGAATGAATAGTGAGGCCATCAAGATTCTAACTCCGTTACTCCCAATAAAACCAGTTATTGACTTCGTTGTCTCACCTTTCCTACCTTTTATCTTCGAACTACAGTTTGGATATTGCTACTCATTCTGTCCCTCGAAAGAAAATCTGGAAGATAGTTTGTCTAACGCGTCTAGGATGCGAAATCGACACGAACTTGAGTGCAAGGACACATGGAGAGACATGCCATCAACCATGCACAAAGAAAGCGAGCACTCAGTTTGAAGTAGTTGGTCAAACACGTATTTCGTAAACGATTTATGAGATAACAAGCTTACTACTGCGCCGTACACTAGTTGCGTGTAAAGAGATACCGGAAAAAAGATCGATTATCATCATGGTCAGGCGCCGATCCCACTTTTGGAGGCGATTCGAAGAGCGTTGGACCGCACCAGCGACGCTACTGTGTTTGCAAGAAGTTTGGCGTCGTCGAGCGGATTTCCAGGAACCACGGTTTTGTACAGATAAGAGTCAAAAGTCATCTTCTGCACATATTCATCCGCGCACATCTCAACGAACGCCTCGCGGGCAGGGTTGGAGCGGTAGAAGACCTTTTGCAAAATGTCGAGCACCTTGTAAGTTGCCCAATACTTGCGATCCCACTTGTCCAAGTACACTCGAAGGTCAGACTCGTCAATTTCTTTTGTTCCATTCATAGACTGCTCAACGACCGCCTCGGCCGCCATACGGCCCGATTTAGCGGCGAAGTAGATGCCTTCACCACTGCACTTGGTGACGTATCCCGCCGCGTCACCAACCAGTGCAACACGGCCCTTCACTCTGTTAGGTCTCGGATGTTCCGGAATGGGGTGCGCCTCCACACGAATGATTTTACCACCCTCACACTTCTCTTCCGCTCTGTTTCTCATGGCGGTCTGATACTGCTTGATGGCCGTCTTGTTCACGACGGTACCGGTTCCGACGGCAACGTGGTCGTACTTCGGAAATACCCAACCATAGAAATCAGGGGACACGTCATCACCAACGTACATTTCTGCGAGGTCCTTGTAGTATTCCATCTTTTCATCCGGAATTTTGATACGCTCTTGGAAAGCGATGGCGTAATCGTATTCGCCGGCATCGATGCACTTGGCCACTCGCGAGTTGGCCCCATCCGCACCAATCACGACGTCCACCTCGAGAGTTTTCGGAACGCCAGTCTTACTTTCTTCTTCGTAATCGTTGTACTGAACCAGAATAGGTCCATTCCCTTGGCCGGGATCTTCAATCTTCATGAACAAGCCGTTGACGAGGTTCGCTCCAAGGCTGTTTGCGCGCTTGCGCAAGAAGTCATCCATGACTTCCCGGCGACACATACCGATGTACTCCTTGTCGTTCAGAGTTTGACCAACGTCCACGGCACGGTTCGACGGCGAAATCATCTTCATCTTCGTGACCTTGCGATCAATGATCTCTTCCGGCAAATCGAACTCGCCGACCATGCACAACGGAATGGCACCACCACAGGGCTTGCAGTTGTCCATTTTGCGTTCGATCAAGTACGTTTCGCAACCTCCCTTGGCGAGGGTTTCAGCGGCACACGCTCCGGCAGGGCCACCACCGATAACCGCAACGCGCAATTTTCGATCAGTGAGAGGCGCGCCAGACGCATAGACCAAACCTCGCGAGGCGGCCTGCATTGCAGTCCGCGAGCGTTTAGGTTCGCTCAGCTTCGGACCCAGGCTGTCAAGTTTTGGAGAAGTTCGGCTCGTCAATCATCTAGTCAGCGCGAGGTCACGGTGAAAAAAAAGTGGTGTACGCCGCGAAGAGGGTGGAACTTCATTCGCAGCTTGAGCCGAACGAAACGCGTGAAAACTGTGGTTCGCTGTCGGCGTTATCGTGATTTCGGATAAGAGGAAAGCACCCGCTATGAGGCGGTCTAGCATTGGAATGGAGCTACTTACCTGATGCCACTCAGAGAAGCTTGAAATTTTGCGCTCAACATGACGCCTAATTAACGAATGTGCGTTGATCGCGGCAGGTTGTGCGCACAGATACCTGCAGCAACGCTGATACGATCTCGTCCGGGCGTGGCTGCGTCTCACCATGAGCACATGTTTTATCGATATGCCCATCATATACTAACCTCCCTATAAAAACTAATACTAACGTTAGTATAAATTTGCTCAGGTTAAGCCATCAGTCGCCCGATGTGCAGTGCACATTGTGCACGTCTAGCGTTTGAAAGCTCTCGTTAAATGCCATCTAACGATGCAATTTGTGGTATTATTTTTCCCACGAATTTCGCCGGAAACTGCAGTTGAAATTTTTGGGATTTTGACTCGTTCAGACCATGAAGAGCTATAGGTTGAAATTAAATATGCGACCGATCCTCCTTAAAGCGTGTCGCCGCGACGCGTCACGGCGTCGCGTGTCGCGCGATCCGCACAATTTTTTGTGAGGCGACGCGAAAGCTTGCGAAATCAATTTTTTCACGAATTTTCGCAAGGTAGAAACACCCGGGTGTAGATATGCTGTAATGGTCTGATACTGCTACAATTCACAATGTATGAAGTATTTGGACGTTCATGACTCGATGAAGGCAGGGGGACTCTCTAAAGGGGGATTTTGACTAATCTCCGTGTTGGTTGTGCACACCTTTTGTTGAGTCATAACCGGTCACGTCATGTATGGATAAACAGTATGATCGGGGTACTCCCATTGGTGTTGTACAAATTTCGGCAAGTTTTCGCAACACGCCACACGTGTGCGCGGATAACGCACCGACGAGGCAGCGAGGACGTGCGCATGCTTCGCCACACGTAGTATCCATCACACACTATCGGATCACTGACGTTCTCACGAGAAGAAATCGCTCAGTCGAATGTAGAAGGCAGAACAACCTCACTCTGACAGAGCCGTGAGGAGACACCTTGACTCCTGCCTAAACCCTAGATAAACCCTAGCCAAACCCTAGTCAGGGTTGATGGCACATACACAGCGCGTGCAATACGCGCTGACACCACCGTTAAGTGGATACGATGAACACCACACGGCGTTCAAAGTCTTTTCTGAAGCCCGTAACGCGGATGAAAGTGACACGTCGAGCGCCTGTGCGCGTAGAACACTCGCGAGAAAAAGACACCTAAACCCTATGTAGGGTTTAGGTAGGGTTTAGGTAGGGTTTAGACGTGGTTTCTTGAGAGCTTGGGGTGGAGTACCAGAGCGCGAGGAACTGCGTGAGCACGTCGCTATGTCCGTCGTATGCCACAGAAACTGGATGAATCTGATGTAACATGCGTGTATCTACAACTGTTCATCGCTGCGCGCGTCCTCGCTGCCTCGTCGGTGCGTTATCCGCGCACACGTGTCGCGTGTTGCGAAAACTTGCCGAAATTTGTACAACACCAATCGGAGTACCCCGATCATACTGTTTACCCATACATGACGTGACCGGTTATGACTCAACAAAAGGTGTGCACAACCAACACGGAGATTAGTCAAAATCCTCTAAAGGGGCGATATATAAATTTTTCCCAATAATCCTAACACAACATCTTATATATATATCTTATAACCCATCACTTATTAAAGACTCGTGAATGGAATATAATCATGCAATAATATAATCATGCAATAATGATGTAAGCTTAAGGTCCCGCTAGGTTGGATAAAATTCGAATCACCTTCTAAATCACCACCCGAAACAAGGTGATTTGAATCACCATCACCACCCATGGAAGGTGATTTCACCTTTCGAGCTCGCGCGAACCGTGTCGTCGCGACGTGCTCGAGTTCGACCAGTGAGTGACGCACTGTACGTATCATCACTGTATTTCCTCGAAACCGGTGCCGACATGTCGTATTATCAGTCACATGATCACTATCACTGTCAATATCAGAAAAATGATAGGCTTTACATACACTCAATATGGAATCACCTTCTAAATCACCACAGGGTGATTTGAAATCACCATCACCACCCATTGAAGGTGATTTACCCAACCTAGAGGTCCCGTGGCTAGGTTGGTCGCATCACGATCTATGAGTCGTGATGCTGATGCGCATCACGATGTCGTGACGGAGATCGTGATGCTATATTGAGAGCATGTAAAGCCTATTATTTACTGATATTGACAGGTATAGTTACCTGATACGCATCACGTTACTGATAATATGACATTTTGGCACCGATGTCGAATGTGTCACTGTTCTAACCCTAGCACCCCGCGTCGAAACGGTTGGTGAAAGCTTGAACAGTGGTGCAGGCCATGTGTCACATATTATACCGCTATTTAATCTATCATGTCATCTTTTAAATTCGGACACTCGGACAATTTCCTCCAAGGTCGCATCACGATCTATGAGTCGTGATCGTGATGCAAATCACGAAGTTTCGGGTCGTGATGGAGATCGTGATGCAGATTTTACCCAACCTAGTCCCGTGGTGATCGCGTCGTAGCGCGTTCTGTGCGTAAAGATCTGAGGTTTCATTAAAAGTCTAAGCTAGTTGTCTCGAACTCTAGAGTCTACAAATAATGAGTTATGACTCGTCACGTACTCAGGACTCGGGAAGGCTATATAACCGTATTTAGCCTGCAATAATCCTAACAAATGATAAGAGTGATTACGGGGGGATCTGCCTAGCTGCATGTTGCTGGGACGAAGATAGAAGAGGAATTCTTCCCACTACACGAACTACACTGGATTCCACTTTCGTTTTCAAGATGCCAGAAGAACTACAGGTAATCTTTCGCGTCCTCGGCCGCAGTTTTGAGACCAAGTTTCTGCAGTCCAGTCACAAAATTGTTCAGTTCATCACCACCCATAACGTAGGGGCAAAACTGAGCACCAGGAAAGACGTTACTGACAACTTCATGCTTGAAAGTCTCCAAGGCGACGATTGCATCATCTCCGAGCTGAGCATATTGTTTGCAAAATCTCGGAGAAACTTTAGCATGGTGAGGGTGTACGGTCAGTCCAAGTATGTCGTGATAGACGAGAATCTGACCGTCGGCATGTCGACCAGCACCAATTCCTATGATTGGAATGTCAATAGCCCCCCTGATAGCCAATGTAACCACCTCTGGAACACACTCTACCACTACAGCGAAACACCCGGCTTCTTCTAGACGCATCGCGTTCTCCACTAAGTTCAAAGCACCATCTGCGTTTCTACCTTGTGGTTTGAAACCACCAAGCGCATTTATAGACTGAGGGGTTAGGCCTATGTGCCCCATGACTGGAATGCCAGCGGCCTTGATTGATCGTATGGCACTCAGCCTCGGTTCGATTGCGCCTTCTAACTTCACTGCGTCAGCGCCGCCATCTTTGATCATCCTCAGTGCAGAACATACAGCACGAGTTGGACTTTCTTCGTACGTACCAAACGGCAGATCACCAACAATCATCGCACGGCGAACTGCTCTTTTTACTGACCTTGCGTGCGTTATCATGTCATCAAGTGTGATTGGCAGTGTTGTATCATGACCATGCACGACCATGGCGGCAGAATCACCGACCAATGCGATGTCAATCCCAGCAACGTCAACCTTAACCAACGGAGTCAGAACAGCCCTTTGGATATAATAGTAGTGATTTTTACCTGTTTCGCACTCGGATAATCGTATGCAGTGATAGCAGTGATTGGCTCTGAACTTTTATACTTCGACCGCAGTTGTTCCACGGTAAACTTCCGATCACACGCGACCGTGGGTCTGGTGGAAAATGTTCTGTACAGTTGTGGGCACGTGTACTTTCGCAGGTGACCTGAGATATACGCCGTCTTCGTCGCGCGGCAAGCGGCGAGAAGGTTGCGCATGCAGCACAATGTAACCGTAGACATGTTTGGTTAACAGCGATTTCGCGGTGAGACGTGCTTGAAGCAAGTTGTCACGGTGATGCGGTGAAATAGTGAGAAGCCCAGGTACTGAAGCTGGTGCTATTATGGTATCACATAGTATCACTTAGGCCGACTAACACACGGGAAAATCTATATCCCACCGGTTGGGAGAGCCCAACCGGTGGGATATAGATTTTTCCCTAACACACCATTCATAACTAAAGTTATCGGCGAGTTATCGAAAAAATGGGGGTATAGCAGCACCAACATTGTTAGGATTATTGCAGGCTAAATACGGTTATATAGCCTTCCCGAGTCCTGAGTATGTGACGAGTCATAACTCATTGCATGTAGACTCTAGAGTTCGAGACAACTATAGCTTAGACTTTTAATGAAACCACAGATCTTTACGCATAGAACGCGCTACGACGCGATCACCACGGGACCTTAAGCTTACACCTAATCACCTAAAAATTTATATATCACCGCCGGTGATATATAAATTTTTCCAAAGCTAAGCGGAATAGTCAGTGGTCGTGCTACGTGACGCGTCTTCGGACCGAGACAGCCACGGAGTTTGCGCGTCAATTCTCTACGACCAGAACCCCAGCTGAATAGTATTAGCATGGCTCGATACTACTGCGGTACTTTTTCAACTTTTGTCGAACTCAAATTTACTTAGTGTTTTTCAGACTACTGCGACGCCTTCCTCACTCACGATTCAGCAACAGTGCGAAAACAACACAATAGTGGGTTCAAGCATAAAGCTAACGCGCGGGCGTACTACGCACAATTTCAACTGATTCCTCAACCAGCGATCCGCGCCAATATGGCACAAGTCGATCACATTCATTTCAAAGAGTCGCGCGACTAGTGTTTTGTGTGAAGAGAGGAGACGCTGAAGCGCTGCTGTCGCGTACACTAAAATCTAGAACTAGTATTTTCGACGCACGGAGAAGGCGCATCTTCGTCTATATCACTTCTGCGACATATTCAGTTTGGACAATAGCTTTGGACGCACCCGAAGTGGCCAGCTGAACAACTTCATCCTGTAACGTTGGGAAAGCACGCTTGTAAAACAACATTGAGAAGCTGACGCAAGATTTCGTACCTCAACAGTCGACACATCGTTTTCACTCAACTCGCACGTGCTCAGCTCATGATGGCTATCACCACAGCTTAAGCCACTAATCAAGAAACGAGAAAAAAATCGATTTACCTTTGAGTATAAGTTCTTCTGGAGCACCCAACCACAATAGAGCTACTAATATCGGCAAGTTTCAGCATGCGACCGTTATCTATGAGCGACCACAACTCCCGACCTCCCACCGACCCAGTCACCTCAGAAACGTTCATCTCTGGTTGATGGATTTCACCGGGGAATTCCTTACCGATTTGCAAGGTTCGCGGGCAGCCTTTATCGAAGTATGCTGTGCCGATTCGTTCGAGTTGTGGTATGATGTTTGCAGTATCCAAGTTCTTATGGCAGCGTAGAACAGCAATCTCATCCATTTGCGGAAGTGTGCACGTGGTATATGGTGCGTGCTATGCACGTGCCGTTCCAACTGCGGCTAGGTGCTAAGATTAGGCTTCTCAGCTTTCGATGAAAAAAATTTGATTGATCAATCGGTTGTAACGTTGTAACTCAAGAAGAAACTCGGAAAAAAGACCCCTCCGCGAATTGGCGAGTCATGGCCCGTCCGGAAACTTTTCAAACGGAGGTAAAGTACGAGGTTTTGTCACCGGTGCCGAGGAAGTGCAATCGCGATAAGTGCGATATAGCCACGCCCGTCGTCTACGGCTTGAGTTACGTCCACGCAGGCGGTTCAGCACTTCAGTGGAGCAAGCGACGTTCACCTACCCGATAGTCAGCAGCGACGCTGCATATCATTGCACACCGCGTAGTCCATCAAGGAACATCGGATGATTAGTAGAGAAGATGATGTTGACAGGCAGAGGCGATGGATTTACTGCGACTTTTTGAAAGAGGCAGGGATGAAGCTGAAAGTGTGAGAGAGAGTGACATATTGCTCTTCTGTTACTGACGACTTTGACGCAGCCCTCAGCTCACGATCGCCACTGCAGTTGTGTTTTGTCATCGATTCTTCCACGTTGAGACCGCATACGAATTCGATACCATGGTAAGTCGATCGTCTACACATAGAATTAAAGTCGTGAACTGCTCTCAAGGTGATGGCCACTGCCTGCCTATTTCTCGCTGGAAAAGTGGAGGAGACCCCGAAGCCCCTGAACGATTTGGCCCACACATCTTATTATTTACAGCAAAAGCGCAATGATCCTACACATGTCGAAGGTTCAGAGCAGGTAATAGGTGTTCGTTGTTTCCCAGACAGGACTCACTGGTTATCAGGAAGGACACGTTGAATTGCGGGAAACTATACTAAGAGCCGAACGGATTCTTCTGCACCGGCTCGCGTTTGATTTCAACGTACAACACCCATATAAGCATCTACTTTCGGTCATCAAAAGGCTGAGTCAAACAGGTCTGATAGAAGAGGACTCCACCAAATCCCTTGCCCAAGTCTCTTGGAACTTTGCAAACGACAGGTACGAAGTAAGGCCAACGATGGCAAGCTCACTGACAAGTGTTTACAGTCTACGAACGTCCTTATGTCTCGAATACGACGCGAAACACATAGCCGAGGCAGTCGTATACTTGGGTATGTTTGTGACTGTATGAAAATGTGAAAACTGACAAGTGGACGTGGACTACAGCAACTAAATTTCTCAGCTCAAAGTTCGAGCTACCCAAAAAGTGGTGGGAAAGCGTCGACATAGATCCAAACACTTCCGAGCTGATCGGAAACCGAATACTGGATCTATACGAGCAATCAGGCCGTGAGGGAGTTATTCATGTGCAAAGCTCCGTCTAAAGGTGATAAGGTTGAGTACAGAACTAAGCCTCATTCTTCCGTCATGGATCGCCTAGAGTTTTGTCCGCGGAATATGGATTTATACGCAGTCGGGAATAGTATTAGTAGGACGCGAATAGAGTTGTGCATTAAAACTGCTCAAATTTCCTAGAACTCGAACTGCGAACAGGACACGAGCGCAACGAACTTCTCGACAACTCATCAGCCAAACATACGCTCATGCGAACTCACTTGCGCGATACTTTATCGAAGGAAGACACACCTATGACCGCCACAGCAATCGCGGCAAGCACGACACCGCCGGCGACGACAGAGAGCAACGTGTTCCTGAGCGACGGAGTCACTGAGGCTTCAGCAGCCAGAGGAGAGGAAATCGTGGCGACCGCCGCAGCGGAAACAGCGGCACCGACCTTCGCCTTCGCACTTTCAATCCTAAACAAAATCCTCATTCCAATAATAAATGATTCGAGGAAACTTACCCGTCAAATTGGAACGTGCCTTCGGCTGGGGCCAACTTCGCGGATACCGCCGAAGTTTTGCCTGGATGCGCAGCGAAACGGTTTGAGGTCAGTCTACATGTGCACCTGGAGAGAAAAGGCATAAACAGATTTATGAATAACTAGATGTGGCGATAGACGTGCACATCTTGGATGGGTCGCTACGAAGCCGAACGATCGCGCGTTGGCCAGCCGCGATCACGAAAGATAACGTCGCTATCTCACCAAGCTTGCGAGCGTTGCGGACTTGCGCTTTGGGAATGGCGAGCGATCGCAGCTTCGACGTGTAAACAACCATCTATACTTGGATGCCAAGGAACTACACGCAAACAGTGCCGTTGACGACGCGCTGATGCCGCGATACCGCTCCACGCAACAAACGATCCAGTGCAAATCTTCGCCTAGATTGCGCTTTTTGTTAGTACTACTATCCTCAATATCAAAAGTAACCTATGTTAGGATTATTGCAGGCTAAATACGATTACATAGCCTTCCCGAGTCCTGAGTACGTGACGAGTTATGACTCATAACATGTAAACTCTAGAGTTCGAGGCAAGAAGCTTACACATTATAATAATCACCAGATCTTTACGCACAGAACACGCTAAGACGCGATCACCACAGGACCTTAAGTGCCTCGAACTCTAGAGTTTACATGTTATGAGTCATAACTCGTCGCGTATTCAAGACTCGGGAAGGCTGTGTAATCGTATTTAGCCTGCAATAATCCTAACATTTCAACCTATATGATAACTTAAAATTTTCAAATTCTCAATTGTGGACCTTTGCTTGAGGGACGGCGATGCGGGTATGGGACGAGGAAGTGAGACGCGCGACGCAGTGCCGCACGCTCCGGCGACGAACGTTCTGATACTCACAAATTCAGTGCTCGCGACAATCACCGGCTAGCTAGAACACTGCGCGAAAGGACCGGTCATATCTGAGGCGACGAAGGATGGTAAATAACCGCGAGCTACACGCACACTTCGCGAACGTTCGTGCTTTCCGTATCGAGCATTTCAGATTGACGCCGAGCGTGGCCGTCTCATGAAGTTTTACTTCGTTTCTTCAACGTTCCGTTAGTGGCATTTAACTGACTATCCTCTCACTCAGGCGAGCAAATTTTGGGGTGGTAGCGACTCGAGCAGTGCTGATGAGAGCTCTGAAAACGTTTCCGACGATTATACGTCGACGACTTCGTCGTCAGACGATTCCAGTGATGATTCTGACCGAGGTCCATCCAAGTAAGTGCACTTCGCCGCGCGTTCATAGCGTCTCCTGAGATCTCTTCAAACTCCACAAGCCCTAGAGTTGACCTAACTTATTTCCCACAGATATCTGCAAGATGAAAGCTCAGACAGCTCAGAGGACGAAAGAAGAGTTATTCGTAGTTCAAAGGTAACCACTAATCAAGTGTTCTATGTTACGTGTCTAACGATAAACTCGCAGCAAAAACACTTTGAAATGCTTAAACAGTCTTCGAGAGAGCTGCAGCGCGTCGCGGCTGGCAGGGACTGGACGAGCGTGATCGGCTCGTTGGAGAGTTTTCATAAACATTTTTTAAAGAGCACGCAAGCATCTATCCGAGCCGAAAGTAGCTCGAAAATCTTCGTGCGAACATTGGTATCACTTTCGGAGGTGCTGGACGCGTGTTCACATGAAGTGGACTTCAAGAAACAAATGTCCACCACGCAAGCGAAGGCGTTCAATTCATTGAGCCAACGAGTGAAAAAGCATATGCGTGCACTGTCGCCAGCTGACATTGAAGCCGCCAGCAGATCACGAAAGATTGACATAGAGTCGGAGAGTGAATCCGCAGACTCTACCGACACCATTGATGGGACGAGGGATAACCCTACCGCCGAATCTGATAAGTTGATGCAAGACATCATGAACATGCCTAAAGAGGATGTAACGTTCGATATGATTGACTCAAAGCTCAAGGAAATCGCCACGTCAAGAGGAAAGAAAGGTGTGGATAGGATGCGCTCGGTCGAGCAGCTGAGATATGTTTCTTCTCTCTCAAAGTGCGCTGCACAAGAAGTCGAGATTCTCTTGCATATAATAAGTGCTCAGTTTGATTTGAACGGAAGTATGTCGACTTATATGGCAACGCCAGTGTGGCGTAACTGTGTGAATGATGTACTCTGCGTTTTACAAACCTTAGAAACGAATGACAATATTTTGCTCGTTGATGGTTCTGAACTAGAGCCACGTCCGAGCAATGATGAAATAATGGCCGGAGCAATAATTCAACTTCGTGGATCTTTGTGCGCCTTTGCAGAGCGCATAGATGACGAGTACACGAAGTCGCTTCAGTGCCTCGATGCGCACACAAAAGAGTACATAAATAGACTTCAGGATGAAGGAGCTTTACTTCTTCTTTTGCATCAAGTCAGCAACTTCTATGAAAGCAGAAACAGTCATAATGCGGTGAGCTTATCTCTTCGAGTTCTTGAGAGAATACACTGTAAGCGCACCGCTTCATACAATGCTCTCAAGAAGTATACAGACTCAAGAATTCAAAGTTCCGCTTCAGTTTCTGGGGGACATATTTGTGACAATGGTGAAATGGTGGAGAAGACGGACGTTTTTGTCACTAATTTTCGATTTCCATCGTGCGAGCTTCATGCACGCATCGAGTCTTTGTCGGCTTATATTTTCAACTACGGAGAAGAGCGCGCAAAGGCCCGCGCACTTTTGTGTCAGATTTTTAACGAGGCCTTATGTGGCCATCTCAGGAGTGCAAAAGAACTTCTTCTGATGTCGCATTTGCAAGAAAGCATCCAGTTGATGGACATAAGCACCCAAATACTCTTCAATAGAGCTGTAGCACAGCTCGGAGTCTGTGCTTTTGAACTTGGAGAATTTGATGAAGCTTTTGTATTCTTGTGCGATTTGTTTACAAGTGGTCGTACAAAAGAACTACTCGCACAAGGAATGACGCAACCTCGCTTCAACGAAAGGTCTGCGGAACAAGACAAGCTTGAGAGGCGCAGACAGTTACCAAAACATCAGCACATAAATCTTGATTTTCTCGAAAGTATTTTCCTTGTCTGCGCTATGCTTTTGGAAGTGTCGGGGCTGCTGAATGTCAAGAAAACTAGAGTATACCCACGCTACTTCTCGCGTATCATGGACCAGTACAATAGGCAGCCGTTCACTGGCCCACCGGACAATACACGCGACACAGTGATGGCCGCGACGAAAATGCTTCTCGTCGGTGACTATAAGGGAGCATCAGGACTTCTCTTAAACTTGCCAGCATGGAACTCATTGTCTCCGTCTGCGTTGCACGTCCTTACTATTCTGGACGAACGATTGAAGATTGAGACCATACGTGTATATCTTCAACAGTTTGCAGACCAATACGCATCTGCTAGTGTTCATATATTAGCGCAAATGGTATCCCTGACCAATGAGAGCGTGTGCTCCATAATAAGCTCAATGATAGCCGATGCGGATATCCCTGCGGTCTTTGACAGCGTTACGCAGAGTCTCCAGTTAAGTCGTGTGCACCATAATCAACTTCAGTCCGCCGCATCCGCGTTCACAGAAAAAGTCCTTGTATTACTGGATGCAAACGAGCGAGCGTTTGATCGTCATATTGGCACTGAGAACATCAGTTATTACGACGAAGATGAGTCGAGAACAAGGCGACAGGCTAAGTCAGCACCTGAACCAGAAGAATATCAGACGCGGCGTTTGAGAAGCGAAAACGCCCGGGGACGATTCATAACAGCAGACCTACACGACGGTATCGTAAAAGCGAAGCAGCGCGATTCTTACGGTCATTTCTCACGGAAACAAATTCACTGTGACTCGTGAGGGCAGGGGTAAGTGCACGACACACGCGCCTATGACTTGTGCCTGGGACATATATTTCAAACTTTTTAGGCCGACTAAGAGCACCGATCATAACTAAAGTTATCGGCGAGTTATCGAAAAAATGGGGGTAACAGTGCCGAAATTAGCATAAAGTTATTGTCACCATACCCGAAGAGTGTAACTCGAGGGTCGGTGACCCTCCCGCCTAGGTTGGGTAAAATCTGAATCACCTTCTAAATCACCACCCGAAACAAGGTGATTTGAATCACCATCACCACCCATAGAAGGTGATTTAACCTTGGAGGAAATTTCAAGCAGGCGGCGGCTCTCTTCGAGGGGGGTGCTAGGGTTCGAACAGTGACACAATTTACTTATCATCACTGTATTTCCTCGAAACCGGTGACGAAATGTCGTATTATCAGTCACATGATGCGTATCACTGTCAATATAAGCAACTAGTAGGCTTTACATACACTCAAGATGAAATCACCATCTAAATCACCACAATGTGTCACGTCACGGGCATTAAAGGCAATGTCTTTAACATCGTATGGTGACCACGCGCCAGCGCTTACTTGTTGAAATCACGTGATTTTGACGATAACTTCGGGGAAAGTTATCGTCAAAATTAAGGTTTGTCAATAACTTTTGGCGAGTCAGCTCTTGAGTTAATGAGGTGGTCAAAGTTATGTAAAAGTTATCGAAATTAACTGTTAACCCCTTGACGATAACTCGCGTAATTTGCCCCAAATGTCCGTTAATTTCGATAACTTTTCCATAACTTTGACCCCCTCCTCGTTAACTCAAGAGCTGACTCGTCAAAAGTTATTGACAAACCTTAATTTTGACGATAACTTTATGCTAATTTTGGTGCTCTTACCCCCATTTTTTCGATAACTCGCCGATAACTTTAGTTATGAACGGCGCTGTTAGTCGGCCTCACACAAAGCTATCTTGAAAATTTGAAATTCTCAATTGTGACCCAGTCACAATTGAGACCTCTGTACCAGAGCGTGGAGGCCTACGCAGACTGTCTGCGGCAGACAGCTCGCACGGCTGCACGCTTTTGGGCCGAAGGTTTCGTGGCTCGCACGCCTGCTCGTTGCGCTCAACGCTTCGATACTGTGAATAAGGGAACGTTCTGATCTCGGTTTCGTTGATTATTTGCGAAAATCACCGCGCACGACGAGCGATATGAAGAAAAAAATCGCATACTTCTACGATCAGGAAGTTGGTAATTTTTACTACGGACAGGTACTTCCTCATAGACGTTGGTTATTTGTTCTCACGATATCCACACCAGGGACATCCGATGAAACCGCATCGAATGCGAATGACACACAACCTGCTGTTGCATTATGACATGTACAAGGACATGGAAGTACGTACTCAGCAAGTCCACTTTGACCACTTGTAAGTTTGACTTTCACCAATAGGTGTTTCAGCCTACACCTGCTCAGGCTGAGGATATGACGCAGTTTCATAGCGACGACTACATCGATTTTTTACGCCTTGTTACTCCTGACAATCAGCATGAACACATGAGGCAGTTGAAGAGGTTCAACGTTGCAGAGGACTGTCCTGTCTTTGATGGCCTTTTCAGGTTTTGCCAACTGTATACCGGCGGTTCAGTTGGTGGTGCGGTTCGACTAAACCATGGCCTGTCTGATACCGTCATTAACTGGTCGGGTGGATTACACCACGCAAAGAAGAGCGAGGCAAGTGGATTTTGCTACGTAAATGACATCGTGCTTGCGATACTTGAACTGTTGAAAGAACACCAACGTGTGCTGTATATCGACATAGATATCCATCACGGTGATGGTGTTGAAGAAGCATTCTATACAACAGATAGGGTCATGACCGTATCATTCCACAAGTTTGGCGAGTATTTTCCAGGCACAGGGCACTTGCAGGATGTTGGACAACACGCTGGGAAATATTACAGCATGAACGTACCCCTGAAAGATGGAATAGATGACGAAAGTTATGAGTTGCTTTACAAACCGTTGATGTCGAAGGTCATGGAAGTATATCAGCCGGACGCAATCGTGTTTCAGTCTGGAGCAGACTCACTTTCTGGCGATCGCTTGGGTTGCTTCAATCTTTCGATAAAAGGTCACGCGGAGTGTCTAAAGTACATGACGTCTTTCAACGTACCTCTGCTTGTGCTTGGAGGTGGCGGATACACTATTCGTAACGTAGCCAGATGCTGGGCATACGAAACTGGATGTCTACTCGAGCGAGATCTGGCGGACTGCATGCCACAGAACGACTATTCTGAATATTTCGGCCCCACACACACGCTACATATCCAGACTAGCAACATGGAGAATCAAAACACACATGAATATCTAGAGGGAGTTCGTGCACATCTTTTAGAAAACTTGTCGAAAATGATGTGCCGTCCAAGTGTACCATTCCATCAGGCACCCAGTTCCATTCTGGGAACGGAAGTTATCAGTTTAGACAACGAGCGCGAGAAGGATGATGAAACATGCTCATTACAGCACGAAATAGAAGGAGATTATGAGACTGAGACACACTCAGCTTCGCATCGACCACAGATGCTACATGCAGGCGAGACTGCGACTAACTCTAAACTTGAACAGGACACTGTCTCACTAGGCACAGTTGTCAGAAGCACAAAGGAAGGGCTACCCCAAACGCACTCTCTTAAGAGTGCGCACGCACCGACCATGACCATGTTTCCGAGCGTCCTGAATAAAAGAGGTCATTATCAATAAAGAAGGAATGTAGGCCCCAGTCGAGAATTCATCACCATCAAACCTATTACCCACCCATAATACGGTTATGCCCGAGTTATGAAGCTCTACTGTTGTCACCATTCATCGAAGCTTAAGTGGACAGGTGGTGGGTGACCTCCCCCAAGTTCAGTTCGAAATGGGCAACATTCCCGTGCGTTGAGCCCTTCTGGGGCGTTCTCGACGGCGACGCGCACGCGGAATCGAACAAACTCGAAATAAAACTCGGTTCCCGCGAAACGCGGCTCAGCGACGCGTCGGTCGAGCGTTGAATCGCGCGATTCGTCGGGTTTGGTCAGGGTTTAGACGACGACGAAAAATCGCGACGCGAGTTTAACGCGGGAAGCGTTAAACTCGCGAGCGCTCGCGCGTTTTTGTTGCTCAAATTTTGAGCGCGTCGCGCGCGCGAACGGCGACGCGATCGAGAAAGATGTGCGCGAATTTCGCATCGTGCTGACGTGGATCGAGCATTCGCGTTCGGCGCCGTCGCGCGGCGCGTTCACGACGACGGTCGCGACACGATCGCGACCAGAGCCGTGTAGGGGGTGTCGCCGCGCGCGCGATCGAGAGCGCCGCGCGAAGACGCCGCGCGCGCCGCGTCCGGGGCGTTCGCGTCGCGGCGCTATGTGTTGCGTACGGGCCCGGAAGTCGTACTCAACGCTCGTTGCGTCGCCTCGAGGTAGGGGTGGGGGAAATTTTACCTGCAAGATGCAAGAGCAAAATTGCAGGTGAAAATTGCAGGTGAAAATTGCAGCTGTTTTGGGGCGTCTTGCTCAAGAGATTAGGGGTGGGCGCCCGCACACGCGGGTGTTTTTAAGGTGCTACAAACACGCGGAAAAATTTATATATCGCCCCTTTAGAGAGTCCCTACATGACTGACGAGTCACGAACCGCCAAATACTTCATACATTGTGAATTTTAGCGTTATCATGCCATTGCGTCATACCGACTCCCGGGTGTTTCCACCTTGCGAAAATTCGTGAAAAACCTGATGCTTCAAAGTTACATGGCTTCAAGCGAAACGGACGACGCAGCCACTACGTCGTGACGAAAACGCCAGAAAGGGACGACAACATACCCATTTTGAATGCCTCGCATAGTTTTACAGCGTGCAAATCTCGATGACGCGTGGGATTGCCATCGCATTTCTAACTTGACGCTGCATACATGATTTTGTCAACGCGCCCTGCCTAAACCCTACCCAGGGTTTAGGCATCGCGAACAGTAACATCAATGGATCCCCACAGACACGTTCCGCCGTGTGCTTCCTTCCACACGACGTTTTGACTACGTGTGCCTGACATTTCTTGAAGCGGACACGTCGCCGCAACGCATTCCGAGTAGTATTCGGCGCGATGAACATTTCCTAGGGTTTAACTAAACCCTGACTAAACCCTGTATAGGGTTTGGAATACAACAGTTCTGGGTGACAGTGGAAGGCAACTGCGACATAAATGATGCAGTGGGCACACGTGTGAGTGTGCTAACGACGCGTCACTGCTTAATTCATGTAACTTGGAGTATATGTCACTGTTTGCGAGCGATTAATACGCGAGACGGCGCGTGCGTCGGATGCGTCGAGAGAATTGCCGGTCGCGTTGACGATCGATGCGGCGACGCTGTCGACGATCGAGTCGACGATGGCGACGCCGATCGGTCGAGTGACGGCCGTTATGTCGTCCGTGAACGCTTTCGCGGAGCACATCGCGGGAATCATGGCGCCGGGGCCGCATCCACACCCGCACCCGCATCCGCATCCGAAGCCGCACGGAGCAAAGCCGTACGGCGATCCGTCGAAAGGGCCGTGCCTCCCGCGCGAGCAGAAGGTGCAGATCCAGGGCATCAATGGCGACTTCTGCAGTCCGTCGTGTTCGAAGGCGAGCCCGTGTCCAGCGGACCCGTACAAGGGGGCTCTCGCGAAACCGGCGTGCGTGTTGCAGACGCCGGGCAGCGATGGACCGGATCGATGCGCTTTGGTGTGCGATCCGCGAGCCGGGCCGACCGGGGGATGTCCGAAAGGATCCGCGTGCCAACCGGTGGCGCAGGTTGGGATCTGTACGTACCCGATGTGAGAGCCGTCGCTCTCCAGTTGACGTTCACAGGCGTTCAATATTTATTGAACGCCAGAGCTGACAAGAAAATCGATTTCGCTGCACTGTACTGCCGATGTAATCAATTCAGATAAATTTACAAAGATACATTCACATTCACGCGCGCGTGTTCACGCGGCAGCGTCGCCACCGACGCGCCACCGCACGGTGGGCAATAGCTCGTAACAACACACGCACTCGAGCGCCCACGTCCAGAGAACCGCATTCGCGGACTTCTCTTCCGTCGTATCGTCAACTAACGTCA